AAATAAATAAATAAATAAATAAGTACAGTAAATGGATTGTCCTTCTGATCCACTGCTGCCTTTCTCCATCCATTCCTCTAATTGACAATTTCACTATTACAACAGAAATAGAATCCCAGAGTTCATCCATTTTGACCTATGGAGTATCATCTCCTCTGCCCCATCTCATCCCCTGCTCCTAGCTCCTTGGTTCTCGTGCCTTGCAGCTTTCACAGGTGTAGAGAAGAACCATTTAATGCACTACAAAGAGAAAGACTTGAAGTATTACCAGTCGGTCCTTTCCACCTTGTCCATTAGGTACCAGTCTTGCCTTTTGTCCTGAAGCTTTGAGGCACTGACATGGTTGACAACAGAACACAGCAGGGCATGAAGGCAACTGCAGGCAGCAATCAAATCAGAAGATCCCGATTTTAGGCCAGTCTTTGTGGCTTCTGTGTACAGTCTAAGACTGATTCAGAGACTATTCAACAGTTCATGGACCTAGAAAGCTATGATACTGTGCTGCTAGCAACAAATGATAGTACCGCTAGATCTCCTAATTTATAGGGAGAGGGCAATCGATCATGAAACTGTCTGTTACCTTACTTGCCCTGTTCCTTAGTTCTGCGCTTCCCTTTGAAAGCAAAGGTCTATGGCAAGAATGTTTTGTGTGACATTAAATTGGCTGAATGTCCTTCTATGTAAGGAAAATCAACTAGTTTCCCTCTTTTATAAGTAGTGTCCCCAAGATTGGCCTCCCCCAACTTGGTGCCTGTCCAATGAATGTTGGACTACAGCTCCCACCATCCCCAGGTAAGACTGCTGGTGACAGTGGGAATTCCGGGATGGGAAAAGCTGCTTTCGGTGAAGACAGCCTCTGAGACCAGTGTTCTCAAGGCAAAAGAACAGGCTGGGGGCAGAAAAGAGTCCTCCTGTCCTCAAATCCATCTGCTTGGGGATAAAGAAAAGGGTCAGGAAAATGGGGCTGCCATAGCCCCTTTCTGGCCTATCAAATTGCTGGTGAAAGGATGCAGATCACAGTCCATATCCTCACAAGGAACTCCTCCTAGTTCAAGACCCTGCTCCCTTTATACATAAGAAAGCAGTTGTCTCCTAGCAGCCGTAATAGCCAAAGCTTCCTTTTCCTTCCCACTAAGTGGCAGCCCCTGGACTCCTCACAGGCCCTCAAGGACCCACACACCGATTAGAGGATGGTGGAGCAACCAGAAGCCGGGACAGAAGTTCCATCACCACCCTGATGCTTTCCCCCCTGCCAGTCTGGGCTTAAAAATCAGGCGTTTGTCCTTGTCTCTTTCTAAATTTTGCCCAATAGATCCAGCTCCTATTTGAGCAAAAAAGGAGATCATCACTATATCTTTGTGTTAAGTGCATGCTCTCTTTTAGCATCTATTTAAAAATCCAACCTCTTCTGGAAAAAAGGAAGGCATTTCATCCATGAAGTCTGAACACATCAGTGCAGCCTGGTCAGATCCATATGGGATCCTTCAGTAGTTCATATAATAAAACAGTATCCCTTCATTCTACCAATGTCCTGCATCCATTCAGCTTTTCAAAAATCTCTACACTATTCAGTATTTTAAGCTGTTTCAGTCCCCACTACCCTACATTCCTTTGGTTATCCATACCGCTCATATACTGCCTGGCATCTCTCTTTTTTCCCTCTCTCTCTCTCTTTCTCCTATACATGCACACACACACACACACAAGGACTGCCCTTATTGGGAAGAAAAAACACACACACACACACTGCATTCTGAAAAAAAGACCTGGGACACAAGAATTTTTTTTTTGTCTACAATGAAAGAGAAAGAAGGGGAGAGCTATCCTCCCTCCTTAAACTTTAAGAGAGGCCCTGCTCTTTTGGTCCATAGCAAGTATGGTCTGCCAGATTATGGGCAGTGCTGGTCCTTGTCCAGCAGAGGTGGTTGGTCAGTCTCGTCTCAGGGGCTATCAGAGCACAGTGTTTTCGGTGCAGCTTCCCCCCAGTGATGAGCGGAAGGCCTGCAGTTGGGAGACCCCATGAAGATGGACGCAGGCGGCTGCTACCACCAGCACATGGAAGATCTGGTGGGAGTGGAACTAGAGGGAGAAGAGAAAAAGAAGAAGAGGAGAGAGAATTTGAATCCAGGACTTGGCAGCATTATTTTCACAGGAAGTTGGCAAACGGGAAGCCCATATTTCTTCTTTAAAAATCTACCAATGAATCAGAAAATGACACTGTGGGGGCAACTTCATTCCATATGCCAAAACGTTTTGTCTGCCCTTCTAATCCTGAAAGGAGGGAATGGGGTTTGCCCATTTCCAGCAAAACTCTTACCACGTTCAGTGCTGATTACATGGCCACTGCTGACATCACAGATTTATGTTCCTGCCCTATCCTTGGGCAGATTTACATGGCTTTTAAAACTGTCTCTCTTCACTCACCCCCGCCGCCCAATTGTATCTTTTAAAAAGGGTAGCAAATAAGTGGTTAAACAAATACACATGATTATGTTACATTCTTATTTTGATTTTCTGCTCTAATATATTTATGCAAAGGTTTGATGCAGGCGCTGGTGTACAGAACTGGTACAGAATACATCCTGGATGAATTTATCAATACTGGATGAATTCATCCAACATTGTAAGAGAGCCTCAATCCGTAACCCCCTCTCAGACAGCCAGTCACTAAGGAAAAGCCTGTCTGAAGACCTTTCTCTTCAGGCACGCTTTTCCTTCGTGACTGGCTTTTTGAAATTGGAATTTTGAATGGGTTGTTCTGCTCTGTTGCTTCTGAGTGCGGTTTTGATATTGATTTTATTTACCTGTTTTAATAGGCTATTTGTTTAATTCTTTTTTAATATTTGTATACATACTGTTCTTAGCTTTCAAATACAGTCTTTTTAATGATGTACTCCATCTTTTAAGGAGAAAGGCAGGGTAAAATATTTGAAATAAAATTAATGAATAATAAATAATACTTAATTGCATTTTTATTCCGCTCAGACCACGAGTCATGGCTTCCCACACAGTTTTTATTCCCATGCCAATCCTGTGGGAAAGGCTGGCCAGAGAGGGGGAAAAAGGACAGCCCAAGGTCAGCCGCAGAGTTTTATGCCTGAATGAGAATTTTATCTTCAGCCCCACAAATCCCAAAACCTTAATACCTTGTTGGTCGAACCACACTCACTCATTGAAAATGGGGTGGTCTTTTCTGATGGCCCTTTTCTATTAGAATGGTTAGATTTTATTCTGGCAGACCTCCAGCGCCTTTTGCAGCTGGGTAAGAGGCAAAAATGTCACAGGTGGCACTTTCTGCTTCATTGCTTTGCCATGTCGGGAAAACAAGCCCCTTGAATGCCTGTCACACAGCTGTCCAAAGTACATTTCCAGCCCCTCAGGCAGGTAGAAGGCTACAGCATTCAGCTGCTTCTCAACTTGCTCAACGGCATCTGCTGAGTTCTGATGCTTAAATGAGTTCCTGTATGAAAACAGCTGGGCCCCCTTCACAAGAACATTATAAAAGGTCGGACTCTTATGAATCAAACTAGCTGTTAAGAGGAATGTATATTTCCTCCAAATAGACCATGTTTCTTCTACAGTGGTATTTTCTCAGATATGGGCTTCAGCAATCAGATTTGCAAAGTTAGCCCATGTTTACCCATCATAAAACAAAGCATATGAACAGCAAGATTGCTAGCTGAGGAAAACACACACTATAATCTTTCATGTGAAAATGTCTTTCCACAATTTGAGGGAGACCTAAAAACATGCCAAGTGTATTGTCAAGTGCAGTGGTTCCCAACCTTGGGTAACTTGGGTGTTCTTGGACTGCAACTCCCACAAACCTGAGCCAGCACAGCTGGTGATGAAGGCTTCTGAGAGCTGCAATCCGAGGTTACTCAAGGGTGGGAACCAAAGGTCTAGGGGGTGATCCCAAATCCACCTGTCCAGGTTGTCAGGAGCAGAGATTTCCCATCTCCTGTTACCGGAGGCTTCCCTGATTTCACCAACCAAAAGGAGACTGGAGCTTCTGCTGGCAACACATATGCTCTGTCACTGAACCTACAGGAGGGAAAGAGAACCCAACTCCCAAACGGGGACAGGTGACAAATGACTCACAGCCTGCATGCCCCTCCCAACAATTTTTGTGGCCCTTAGAGACCCTGACAGAGCAAAGAAAAGTATACTCCCAGAACCTTCTTGGAAACACAATTCTCATCTACTACTGCTGTACATAGCCATGTACCTTTTTTTTTTAAAGTGAGCAGAGGGTGAGCACCATACCACCTTGAGTCTTTTTAAGGAGAAAGGTGGGGTAAAATATTTTAAATAACTTTAAATTAAAAAAAAAATAAAAGCATGGACATGTTATTTGTGGGAACCAGTAACATTTCCAGTTGTCCCCATAGCCACAGATATTGGTGTCATGTGGCAGAGTGTGGTTACGACAGGAGGTAGGAGGCTGGAATTGGACCCCTGACCCTTCCTCCAAAGTTACCCGAACAATGCTGAAGTGAGGGTCACAAGGAGTTGTGAGTCATGGTTCCACCTTGCCAATACACCCGCAATATCTCTCCATACACATACACCACTGGTAAAACACTATACATACCCATATGTCACACTTGCCGGGGAAGAAGCGTTCCGGAATGCGGGCTGCGTAGAGACCCACCCCCAGGATGTAGAGGACAGCCATGAGGAACAACCACCCAATCTGTCCTACTGTGGTGGCCTTGATGAATCCTTCTGCGATCATGAAATGGAGAGTGGGCACCAGTCCGCTCAGCCCTAGGCCCAGAAACACGCCTGCTCCCAACCCCCCCAAAAAGAAAAGGATTTTACTTCTTAAATGAGCTCCTTATGGGGACTAAAAAAAGATCTCAGTATCCCAGAAAGGGAAAATGAATATCAGCAGCAAAAGAGAAAACATTTCTGAACACATAGAAAGGATTTCTTCATCAGTAAGGAGAACCAAGCCACAATGTTTAAGTAATGCCTGGAAGAACACTCAGTCTGAACTTTCATTGTTACACTGAAAACACCTGTTGGCCGTCATATTAGGCTCAGAACTTAGACATGTTGTGTGTATAAATACATTTTAATCATATAATATGTCTTATTAACTGGCTGTACACCTTTTTAATTGCATCTTGTGTATTTTAACCACATACAGTAATATGTTTTATGAACTGATTTTATATTTTTAAACTGCATTTTGTATATGTTAGCCCCATAATATGTTTTATGAATTGGATGTACATTTTTAAACTGTATTTTGTATACTTAAATCATAATTATGTTTTATGAGCTGGTCACCTGACCGTAATAAATAAAGTCAATTCAATTCAGTTCAAGTTGTGTGTGTTTTTAACCATAGCTTTTTTAAAAACCGTAACTTCTGTCAGTCAGCAAAGCCACAGCTTATGCTCCCTGCACATTACCATATAGTACAGACCTATCCTTTCATCTTGATGTGAAACCTTTGTGTGCACCGAATTAACTGTTAAACTGGCACCCAGTTTGGTTTCATTAGGTAAGTGTCAATAAGGCTTGTGCTGGAACTGTAACCCATTGGGTCAAACTGGAACAGTTCAGATTCAGAGAAAAGCTATTTGAGTTGGAGGGTGAGGCTGCCAAGAAGCTCCAGGTATCTTCACCTGGTGAAGGAGGACAGATGGGGAGAAAGTGATGGGATCAAGGTGGCTCAATGAAATTCAAGGGTGAACAGGGATTTGAACCCATATCTATGAATTGCAAAGAAACACAGACAACAACAGTAAAAAAGTTATCCATGTTTTTCCTCTCCTTATAATATAGGACCCCCATATCCACAGGACTGGTATCTGCATTTTCACTTATCCACGTTCTGAAAATATTTTAAAAAATTAAAGAGAAAAAAATAGAAATAAGTATTTTCACAATGTGTTAACCAGAACTGATCACTAGATGGAGACGATGCTACATATTCTTTTTTGTTTAAGAATACACAGCATGGTCTCTGGCTCTCTCTAATGGCCACATCTGGTAATATATGTGAAAATACTTTTATTCTGGATTTTTTTTTCTCTTTTACCATGCTATGTATAGATTTTGCTATTATCTGTGGTTTTCAGCATGGGGGGTTGATCCAATTCCCCCCATGGGGGCCCTACTGTACAGTATTATGAATCTATTTCTACTAAAACACACCCAAACATCTTTGGAAAACTGTTGTTCCCCAAACTGTGGTGCTTTTAAAAAAATTCTCTATTTTGCTTTTTGTATTTCTGCAAACCTAAGCTAATGTTGATTATTTGAATCCTTTCCTGTTTCTGTTTTTGATTATCTGGATCTCTTCCCATTTCCTTCCTCATCTGTGGTGTGCTTTCAAGATGGAGCTCTATCAGGAGTGGATTACATAAAAACATAAGAAGAGCCCTGCTGGATCAGGCCAAGGGCCCACCTAGTCCAGCTCTCTGTATCTCACAGGGGCCCCACCAGATGCCTCTGGGAGTACACGAGACAACCAGATACCTGTCTCCTGGTACCCTTCCCCAGCATCTGGCATTTGTAGGCCTCTCTCCCATCAGCGTCACCCAGCATGGCCAGTTGTAAGGGACAGTACAAGACAGAGAAAGCTCCTGAAGGACCAAATGCTTCCCCAAAACCAACCAATTGAATTATTCTCAGACCATATCCTTTTGAATTATTCTCAGACCATATCCTTAATGTCCCTAACAGTAACCCTGTCAGATACACAGAGCATGGGAAATTTGCTTTTTTGGACTACGTACAACTCCCAGAAACCTCCAGCTACCTGGCTAGTGATTAGGAAAGGGACAGAAAAAGATCCAAATAATCATCCCAAGCCAAGGGCTTGTAGAAATTTTAAAAAGTATTTAGGGGAGAAACATTCTCAGCTAATGGAGTGGGAAAGAACATAATTTATGAGCTATCTTTAAAGTACAAAACCCTGACTTACTTTGAACCCAGCTGGGGGCTGGAATCAGCATGCCACGCTGCAAAATGTTGCAGATACTGCTGCTTGCACTAATCAATGGTTAGCTTACAAGGCGGGAAGCCTTGTCTTCACATCTCAATACCATTAAAAAAAAACAAACAAGAATATGTAATTACCTGCTCGGACTGCCCGATACTGTGGAGTGGCAAAGTGGTCCCACTGTGATACCATGATGGCAGTCACGCCCAGCACACAAATGATGATGAGGTAGATGAGTTGGGGTTGCGGTGAGCAGTAGAAGGAATAATACAGCCATGGCACAAAACTGCCCATGGTGAGCAAGGCGATTCCAGAGTAGTCTAATCTGCACAAAATACAGAATGCAGAGCAGGGGCATGGGTTGCTGGTAAACACCAAGCACGGGATAGCATCTGGTGTGTAATTTCAACTTCTGAAGGTGGTTCTGTCTTCATACTTTTCTTAAGATACAAAGCATTGGCTTTTCTCATTGGCTAGAAAGCAAGTCGCCACAGATGCTGCAAGCACTCATGCCTTGCAACATCTTGATAACCCTCACCTGCTTGCCACATGCCCCAGAGTTTTGCAAGTGGGTGGGAAGGGCACTTACTTGGAGAAGGTGCGAGAAACCTTCTCGGAGTGGCAGTAGACGGTGTGGAATAGCCAGGAGAAACAGAGGCAAAGAATGGCTCCTAAGAAGAACATGCCAAAGACGACACGCTCCTGGATAGGGGCCACATATTTCATGTTGGGACTGATCATGTACCCAACGCCCAATACCAGGAAGAAGAGGAAACCTGAGGAGAGAGAAGAAAGCTGCCTACATAACTTTGTTCGAATGTACGCCTCTCTCTGCATTCCCCCCAAGCATCCTGAAAAAGGGCTCAGCAGGGATATTAAGTGACCAATTCCAAATCAAGACCGTGGTGCCACAGGTATCTACCAATGGAAAAGCCTTCTCAGTAGTGGTCCCTCATCTATGAACTGCCTTCTCCAAAGAGATCCACCTAGCATCCTCATTAGTAGCTTTAAAAGCCAAGTTAAGCCTCTCCTCTTCCCACAGCACGTCTACAGGGCTGCTTAACCCTGGGACTCTCAGTGTCTTAGAGTGTGACTCCCAGGAGCCCTGAACTAGGGCCTTTGGGAGATGTAGTTCAAGACAAACTGAGGATCAGTTTGGGAATAGTTGTGGTACTTTTTTTTATTGCTGGTTCTTAACATCATTGTAATACCTTCATTATGTAGGCCAGAATCCTATTCACTGCAGGCAGAGCACAGCCATCCATCTGTGGAGTTTCTATGATCTCTACATAGTTTAGCTAGCTGGAGATCATCCCCATTGCAATGCCCAGGACTTTCACTTGCACATAATGTTGCTGGATAAATCCTTGTGCAAGCCCTCTGAAAAAAGTCCCAAAAACTGTTGTGGGAGCAGAAAAGGTGAAGAGGATCCTGGCTGTATCATTTTAACCACTAAATTATGTTTTGGCTTTTTTAATGCCAATACTTGTGATTTTATTTATACTTGCTTTCATATTTGTAAATGGATATGAAGATTTTCCCAGTTCCCAGAACTGGAGCAACTCCTAGAAAAACTAAAGTGAAATGTATTGACTGCTTTGTTGTGGAGGATGGGAAGATTACTGTGGTTCAGAAAAGTATATTTCCAGGCTCTGTCCTATTGACCAAGACAGAGCAGAAGACAATGTTTGTGATCAGGATTAACCTGATGCAGGCTCGCAGTACCAAACTCTCTGTCTTGTACATCAGAACTCAAGAAGCGCCTACTGCATGCATTCCCCCTTAAGAGGAAACATAACAGCACCCATCCTATTACATAACCTTGAGATAAATGTCTGGGACAGTAGGCAGTTACCTAAATAGGACATCGTTACTGCCATTCATTTACAGCAGGAGTGGGTGGATGTGTGGCTCTCCAGATGGCCATTGGACGACAGCTACCATAAGTCCTAGTCAGTCAATAGTGAATGATGGCGGGAGTTATTGTCAACAACATCTGGAGGACCACAGGTTGTCTCTACTTGCTCTAGGACAGTGGTTCTCAACCTTGGGTCCCCATATGTTCTTGGACTAAAATTCCCAGAAGCCTTCACCACCGGCTCTGCTAGCCAGGATTTCTGGGAGTTGTAGTCCAAGAACATCTGGTGGCCCAAGGTTGGAAACCTCTGCTCTAGGATCTCTGTCAATGCTAGAGATCTGCAACTAGCTTTATTTTCCACCCCCAATGGCCACATGCCTACTAGTAGCACTCACAATGTTGATTGTACAGGACAAAGTATTGTGGACCCAGGTGTGTATTGTTAGTAGACAACTGTTTACACTGAACATTTATATGTATATACATACACCTAATTTAGCATATTAAGAAGGCACCTATATTCTGGAACTGAAACAATTTGCTATGAGTTAGTGTACATAGGGACATGGAAACAAATCCAGATTTTCCCCATTTTAATTCTCTCTCCCACCTCACTTTCTGGAGCAATACAAGGCAACACCCTTTAACTAACCAAGCAGATGGGTCCAGATGTTTCCAGTTTCAGTGTGGAGGCGAAAGATGCTGCGGAAACAGGCACGGAATGAGGGCATGGGTGGGCGATGTCCATGTAGGAGGAAATCATTGTCCTTCAGCCAGTCAGGTAGTACATCATAAGGCATGACACGCCAACGACCTTCCCACACCTGCAAAGGGAGAAGAAAGCTTAGAAGGTGACTGAGAAAGACATGAGCCTGTCCACGTTTTCCCCTGGGTGCTGCTTTGGAAAAATGATACTGGATCCTTAGGACAGTAGGAACTGTGTTGGGAGGCAGCAATGAAAAAATTGTCCCAGGAGTAAAAATAATGTGTATGTTTGTGGATATAATATTTTTATTAATACCAAAAAAAAGAAAGAAAAGAAAAAAGAAAAGAAAAGAAAAGAAAGGACATATTTAAAGGGTTTTGGAAGTGATGATTTAAAACATCTGTAGATCCATGTTTCCCCACCCCTAATGTACAACAAAGAGACACATTTTGACAATGTTTCTGAAGTTGCCAGGAGAGTGTGTGCCTCAGCTGTGACATGGCCGTTTGTGTAACCCTTTTCAGAAGAATTGCTACCTTGCTGACATCACCGGATAGCCCTAAGAAAAAAGACAGAAGGGTTGGCAACTGGCAGCCTAGAGTGGGGATGAGAAACATAAGGCCCACCAGAATGTTACACTGCAACTCCCATTAGAATTGCCCAATCCAGCCTATGGGGAAGAATCATGAGAGATATAGTCCACCAATATCTTGACAGCCACGTGTTTCTCCTTCCTTAGCCTGTGACTGGGGTGAGCAATGATAACCCTCTAGATCAGTGGTTCCCAGCCTTGGGTTCCCAGATGTTCTATGCTGGCCAGGATTTCTGGGAATTGTAGTCCAAGAACATCTGGGGACCCAAGGTTGGGAACCACTGATCTAGAATCTTTTTTTAAAAAATACCCATCATTAACCCTAGCCAACACAATCAATAGTAAACGATAGCAGGAGCCACTGTTTCAAAACATCTGGAGAGTCACATTTGCTCCCTTCTGGCCTCTAAAAAATCATCCCCAGATTCCTTATTCTGGGAAGTGAGTGAAGACCCAAATCCAGCCCTCTTCACATCACATTCAACACCATAGACACAGACACCCATTTATTTTCACAATGGAATTAAAGCTTGGTTGATCCAGAAGCCAGTCCCATTGAGTTCACTGCAAGGTAAGTAGCCTCCGCTTCCTGTTTGGATTTCATATTGGGGCTAAGCTTGAGAGATAGGCAGCCATATTTGTTGCCCATTGAAATACAAAGCGATACCCCTGTGTGTCTATTTTTCCAGGAAAGGGATTACAAGAGTAAGGGAATTTCAACTCCTCCCTCTTCTCCTCCCCCCCCCTCATTTTATTACATCAATAGCCTGCTTTCCTTAAGTGAGCAAAAGGTTAAATGACTCTCCTTTCCACTTTCTTCTCACAACAGCCCTGCGAAGTAGGTTAGGCTGAGAGAAGGGAACATAAGTGAGTTTCATGGCAGAGTGAAGGTCTGAACCTAGAGCTCCCAGATCCTCCTCCAACACTCTAAGTCACTACATGGTCCTTCACTATCCACACCTTCCCATCTGTTCCTCACCTCACCCCACCCCACCCTTGGCCCCATCCCAACTCCAATACTGAAAGTGAGGCAGAGCTAGAAGAGAAGTGGCCACCTAAGGAGGTAAGAAGTCAGGTGTGAGAAGCTCAGCTCAGTTGCCATCACCACATGTGCCCCTTCTGATGCCAACTCAGACTTCCATTATCCCTACTTTGTACATGAACAAACAAATCTGTTTCCTGATCTCGTCTCACCTGTTCCTTTCCTAACTAGATTAATCAGGATTAAGTTATTCAGCCTTCAAAAGCCGCTTCATTCTCAGCTTCTGTGCATCGCTTTCAACATGGGCGATGAACAACCACAGTCTACTTTACAGGGCTGTTGTAAGGATTACTGAGGTAATCTGTGAGGAAAAACATGAGACGTGCCCAGCAAATCTAAAGTTTGGACTAAACCTTAGAATAAATGCCATCAACCAGTAAACAAAGGCAGCAAATCCATGTCAAGTCACAAGGAGATGGCTTCTGCCCTCCATGCTCTGAGTTTGTGGTCACTTGCCTGAACCTGGCAACAGTCCTCCTCTAAATCTTCTGGAATAGCAGCGCGTTTTGTCCTTTGTGTTGCCCTCTCTCCCCAGCGCATAGTCTCCCTCAGATGCAGGCCTACAAGGAACTCAGCCAGAGGACTGGACTTCATGGGAAGATAGCAGGGCTACTGCTTTTGCAGATTCGGTGTTTTGTTTCTGCCCTGGTTCTGGATCATATGGCCTGTGGGGCTTGGCGCTCTCTGAACCAGCCCTAAAGCTGGCTGACAAGGTGTGTTCTCATGGCAAAGAGGAGAATGATCACAGCATTCTGACCCTTCCACTTTCTAGAACATGCGCTGACAAGGTGTGTTCTCATGGCAAAGAGAATGATCCCAGCATTCTGATCCTTCCGCTTTCTAGAACATGTGTGGCTGTTGAATCTTCACTCTTTGCCAAGACAACCAGGCAGCAACTAAAAACATCATCTCAGCCACTGTGACCTCCTAGATTGTGACCTCCTAGATTGTGTTATTTCTGGCAGTGGGGCGACAACTGGGGAGGAAGCAACTGAGGAAGAGCAGTGTAGCCAAAGTTACCACTGCCCAAGGAGGCTTAATTTATGTCAGGGCTCCCTGGGGTTTCCCAGAGAGTTCATACTCATCAGATGACATCACTCACCTTCAAGACAAATTCCTCCATCTTCTCCATGGCATGTTGAGCCTGAAGAGGCAACATCAGGACCCGCACAGGATCTGGGCCAAGCTCATCCTCCTGTAAGTCTGGGTCATCTGACCCCCAACCTCTTGGCACAATGCGCATTTCAACACCATCCTGAAAGAAACACACATGAAAGAATGGAAGCTGGAGAACATGAGGCCTTTTAGATGATGTTGGACTGTTATTCCTGTCATTTCTACCTGACTTAGCTGATTGCCACAGTAAATTAAAACATGCTGAGATCCTAAAGTACATCAGATTTAACAAGCCTCAAAATATTGCCTCCCATAAGAGATATTATGTAAAACTTGAATGAACAAGCCTCAAAATATTGCCTCCCATAAGGGATATTATGTAAAATCTGAATGTTAGTATTGTATGTGTGTGTGTGTGTTGTCTTTAGAAGGCTGCTCATAAACTGAGTCCCTGAAGCTTGCTTAGTTTGTACCCAGCACAGGCCAAAGAGGGGAAATGCTGGGAGTTGTAGTCCAACATCTGTAATCTGTCACACTGGAGAGAAAGCAAGTAAAGGGAACAGCATTTAGACCACCCCCTCCCACAAAGTATCATGTTCCAGAAATGGCTGCCAGGCAATCAGGTTGTGAGATTTTTTTCTTCTAGGCATCTGAGGAAAGGATGTGGGTCTGGAAAGAGGCTAAAGAGTGGTCTTCTTCTAAGAACACCTTCCTCAGATTTTCAAGCAGTCCTCAGATTTGATTTATTAAGTATTTACAGATTGGAACATTAGAAAGTTATTCTATCTTCAGAGATAGAATGCATCTGCAAACTAGTAGCCAGAATCAAAAAATGGGGAATGTCACACCACTTTCTTCATTGTTTGTGAGTGGGACACTAAACAGATCTTGGTCTCAGCTGTCAGTTACTATGTTTTACATACTACTGCTAGGAACTCAGCTTAATTAAAGAAGGGCAAAGGAACTGGTGGTAGGGGTGGTGAAGCTATGGCTAATGCAAGGAAAACAACAATCTTTGTCAGAATTAGTTGCTGTTTGTTTGTTGCATTGCATTCAGGTCCTTTTTATGAACTTCTTGGGATATTTGGTTACGTTCACCCAGTTAAGCAGTTTTGATGTTCTTCAGAGATCTGGAAAAAAAAATCTTCTGCACCACCGAATCCAGCTTATTAGGATTTGGGATTTAAAGAAGCGATACAAAGGACAGGTAATAAAAAGAGGGATTTGGTAAATAATTGCACAGACACTCACCTGGCCAGCCTCGTTTTGCAGCAAGGGCCTTGTTTCAGACAGTGCCTCCTCCCCCCGGTACCCTATGCACCATCCAGCCCGCTCCTTCAGGGGCTCCATGATGGTGTGGGGGGGAGGGGGTCCCACAGGTGAGGCCTCTTCACAGGCAGAGGCTCAGTTCCTTCTGCAAGCCACCAGCCCCATCATCCCCACTGTCTCTGTGAGAAAGCAGAGAGGGTAAGGGGTGCAAAGGAATGAATCCCCGGATCGTCCCCTCCTCCACAACCTCATGAACTAGTCCGCACTACTTTTTCTGCAGCCACCAACTCTACCCACCCTGCACATTTGCCCCATAAGGGCTTGCTATCTAGCAATACTGTTGCTTGACCGCCCTATAAGCATACATCCATTCTTTGCCTTCCTTTGAAATGCATACACCATTGTGCCAACATCCTGCCCTTGCTCCAGATTAAAAAAACACTACTTACACAGTACCACCGTTTTTTTGTTTTGCTTTTATCCCTCCATCCACTATTAGACTGCCCTTCCTTCTTCTTTTCAAAACAGTTTGATCCCCCAGTACACCTCCAGTGACCCACTTTTCCACCAATAACACGTCACTGCTTGTAAACTGTTGTCCATCCAGTGCAGCACAACATGGTAAGAAGAATTTTACCACAATCTTTCTTCTGTAGATTCCTAAAGGGGGTCAGAGATGTGCCCAAAGCGGTGCCACCCCATGGTTGGCTCCCCATGTGGTGAACGTGCGCATACCGTGACAGGATTACAAGCAGTGACCGGGGAGTAAAAGCTTGTCTGTAGCCATCACTGATTGCTCTGCATCCATTCTGGTTCTCAGCACCATTCACAAAACATCACGTCACCAAGATTTTCCCAGGCTCCATCCCCCCCCAGCATCCCAGGCAATGCCTCTCTTCCTCCCTCGCTCCCTCCACCCCGGGAGGCCCACCCAATAGATTCCTGCCTCCCCCTTCCGATCTCCGCATCTCCATCACCCTTCCCTCCACTCTACTTTCCCAGCCCCTCCATTATACCCTCACCCAAGTGCCTTGGCAGCAGCATCAGGACCCAGGTCTCCCCTAAAGCCCCGCCTCTCTCTCTGATAAGCCGGGATCCCTGCCCGTCAGATTCGGATCACTTCCTGCCACAAGGAGAGCATCCTTCGCTCTCGGGATTGGCTGGGCGTTTGAAAAAAACAAAAAAAACCCCGATGCTGCTCAAACCAAGAACCCGAAAGAGAGAACTTCCGGCTGCGGCTGAAAGGCTCCTTTTAAAGGTTGCTATGGCAACACTTAAAGGGCTAGCCAGGCGGATTTCGTGTTAAGCGGAGGCAGAAGGAACGGCTAAACGCGGGGAAGGAAACGGGTGCAAGATTAAAAGGGGCACGTGTAGGGCTGTTCAGGAGACAGCAGACCTGCAAATCAACACGCAGCCAACCCGTGGTTGCGTGTCCCACGTTCATCTCAGGCACGGGTCTAGGCTGTGCACGTCTTGTGGGAACGGCTGTCTAACGGCGCTTCCGGGTGGATACAGAAAGGGCGTATAAACATGTGGAGGGACCTCCTGCCCACACGACGCACTTAGGACACGAGCGGGGTCGGGTGTGGGTGGCGAGAGGGTAGAGAGAGGGATGTGGATTTGACAGGGGATTTTCCACACACCCCCAATAGGTGGGGGCTGTTTGTGCCTGATATCGGAGGTAGAGAAAGGATGAGAGAGAGAGAGAGAGAGAGAGAGAAACAACAGGAGAGGTTTCAACCGATGACCAGGGAAGAAAAGTTTGTCTGCAGCCGTCATTGATTGCTCCGCATCCCTTCCTATTCGGGGCACTCTTCCTTCAGGGTCCCTTCGCCAAGCCTTGGGCTCCCCCAGACTTGCGAAAGGTTCATCCGTTCCAGCAGGCGGCCATGAGAGATGGGCTGTATCTTTAGCTAAGTTCATGCGGGTGACGCAAAGCACCTTGCCGTGTTTAGCCATGGGCTGATCACGTCACTTGCCTAAATAGCGAATGAAGAAGAGCTTTGCTTCAGCAGTTCCCATATGGTCTAGCGGTTAGGATTCCTGGTTTTCACCCAGGCGGCCCGGGTTCGACTCCCGGTATGGGAAAAGCGAGGTTTTTATAGATTTCTCGACTTCCCTTATCTATCTCTCAAGATTAAAAAATAGCTATAAATAATAATTGTGGTTTTGGCTTTTGCAGATTTTTTAGCTGTGTCGCCCTCACTGGTCCTTCCACTTCCATTCTCATTCTTGGCAACATTTGAGTGATGCAAATCTGCTGCAAATGTAAGGCTTGATTGAAATCATAAGAGATCTGATGGTGATTGAGGGAGACAAAAATCATATTCTGCTTCCTGAGGAATAGGAATGCTCTTTGCCAAAAACGAGTTATAACAACCTGCCTTTGCCAGGCCGAAGAGCAGCAGCTTCTCTTGCACACGTTTTGATCTTTGCATCAACCAAGAGGGAGTTCAAACTGAGAATAACATCTGTTTACACACTCACGGGGTAACACGGATTAAAGTGGCTTCAACTGGCTTCAACCTGGTAGTTAAACCCAACCTTGTCCCAGCATTCGGAGGGACAACAGGAAACGTGTATTTCAAACACAGGCGATGGTGGGGGAGAAGTTTCTGTAGAGAGCTAGGGTACCTCTGGGTGGAAAATTCCAGTTACATCTTAACCAGGAGTGAAGCATTAAACCACATCCCCAAAGGTCCCGTTGCAACGACCTTTAAACTCATCTTCTGCCATGAATTTTTGGACATTAATTTGCAATTTTTCTGCACTGTCCGCAAGATACTGGTGAAGAAGTGGATTTTAATTCACGAAAGCTCGCATAGATTGTTTGATTTTTTTTAATGGCCTAATTAAATGTGTTTATTTCTTTAAAATATTATAATAATAAAGATACTGTACTGCCTTCGCATTCTCCATTATTTATATTGCGTTAGGAACACAGGGCATTCGTTTCACAAATGGTGAAAAAAACACAATTTTTTTATTTTGCAACATGAGTTGTATTTATTGCCCTAAACTAAAACACACACTTTCCCATATCGAAAACCAGGAATCCTAACTGCTAGACCATATGGGAAAGGCTGCTCTATTTGTTCCAGTACGTACGCTGCTTTCATACACACTGAACACGTTGCTGCTTTTACATGTACAGCATCTTATTACTGGTTAATACGTTGCTTGCTTTTAGACTACGTATGCAAAGCTTACATCGCTTTAAAAATAATCTCAAAGACCATTTACATACTAGTATACTTCTGGAAAAAAAACAACACGAGGGTGATTAAAAATTGTCCTTTTCCCATACCGGGAGTCGAACCCGGGCCGCCTGGGTGAAAACCAGGAATCCTAACCGCTAGACCATATGGGAGAAGACACAAACGAATCTTGACTAATGCGTGGCCCAATCGGGGATAGGGCAATTTGTTACCGCCACCTACAGAGGAATATAGGAATTGCGGGCAAGTTTAGGAGTCCATTTCTCGGCTGTTTATTCTTTGACAGGGGATGGGAGATTTTTCTTAAACATAAATCTGCAGATGTTTAGAATGTTACCTTCCATCCTGTTAGAAAGAGAATTTTTTATATACCCAATTCACCAAGCAGAGTCAGAACAGAAGCCCGCCAGTTTTATTTCACATTCACGCTGCCTCTTAAGTGCGAAGAGTCTTACCAGACTCTGTGAAAAAATAACATCCGCTTTTCTTAAAGGTGCCGCAGGATCCGGCGTTTTCCTTATTGCCAGACCTTCGGGAGGCTGTGCTGCGTGAGAGGGTTGGACCCTTTGAGGGTGGCGAGTCACTCTGCGCATGCTCCAGGGAACGCTCGCCTTTCTCCCTTCGATATAGAAAAACCGGGTGAGCAAAGCATGGATCCTCGTCCCTGTGGGTAGTTGGTTCCTCTACCTATGGCTGCTGATAACGGGGATGGAGAAAGTGACGTGAACTGTGTTTTTGCCTAAACTTGGTCATTAGAGCAACTTCTAACAGGCCGATCTCCAACAACGACGGCGACATCTCCCCATCGCCTCCCCCTTCTGACCTTCTGAGTCAAGCCACCTTCGTCTCTGTTGCGGTTCTCGGTTGCTTCCGCCGTTTGGGCGAAGGAACTACCGTCCCTTATCCCTCGTTAACCACGCTCTCTAAGGAGCCTTTCCTGGCACCCGCAAACAAAGGGGCGCAGTCTGAAAGAAGGGCAGTGAGAGAAGCAAACTCCGGTTCCGACGCGGCTTCTACTCGCTCCCTGAGTCTGATATTTCGCGCGCCCCGCCCCACCCCCAACAGGCACATCTTGTCCAGGGCTCCTCAGGGGTCTAGACTCCTAAATCCAGGCGGACCGGTTTGTCCAGCGTCTACAGCCTTCTACAGGGCCAAGATCCTAATGATTATGATAACCCAACTAAAATCCTAATTCAGTTTGAATTCAATTCAGATTGAAACACTACACTTGTACATGCGCAATCAGGCGCATGAACCCTTTCACCAACGTGGAAAAAAAAAACCCGATTTCCTTCTTCCTTCCCCCGTAATAAAAGGAAATGAGGGAAGGCTGGGGTGTGCTATATTTCTTAATATACCACGAGGGTGCGCTCCCAAGGCTACCACCACCTGCCAAAGGTGGTAAAAACTTCATGATGAGATAAACGCTCGGAGTTTCTGAAACTCAGCAACTTTTCAGATTTAAGGGAGGGAACCAAGTGAGGGGCAAGCTCATGGCTCTTTCCCTCTGTGGAAACGCACCCCTTCCCATCCTGCACAGCGTTTTGGCTACAGCGAGATCTTAAGATAATATAAAGATAAAAAGTAATAGAGTCACTGCTATGGCCTTCCGCCTGGTTTCTTCTCTGCAGGAGCCTCCGGCAGTAGCCGCTCCGGCGGAGTTTTCAGTCGCAGAGAGTTTTGGAATTGGAATCGAAGCAAGACAGGCCAACTGTTAATTGTTGGTCCATTTATAAAATGAAGCAGATATGCATTAGGTTCTTCTGTTTTGGTTATTTCACCTCTAGGATTGCTGCACAAAATACAGCTTGTTTCCCATACCGGGAGTCGAACCCGGGCCGCCTGGGTGAAAACCAGGAATCCTAACCGCTAGACCATATGGGAAATGCCTTCTGAGTTTCTGGCTTGAGTAAAGCCTATGTGTAACATTTAACTGCAAAGCTTTACTTCTTGCTGAAGGATTTCTCTTTTGCGAACAATCGTTCAGTGATCAAACACTCACTGTTCCTGCATTAGTAGCTTCCACGTGTTACATTCCCAATCATCATCATCATCATCATCATCATCATCATCATCATCATCATCATCATCATCATCATCATCATCATCATCATCATCATCAGTCATAGAGATTCTGACTACAGTATATATTTTGTTACATGCTTTTTCCTTGCCCTTAATACGTTCCTTTCATGATCATTAGTCTTTCCCGCTGTAATTTTGTTGTAGCTTCAAACCAAACCTCACAATCCTTTCCCCCATTAAATCCAACAGAAATAATTAATTATAGAGATGACCACAATAACCCCACTGGGCAAAATCCTGTTGAGAAGTCTGTGGGTTCCAATGGCTCATCAAACAAGTGTCAGGGACAGTCGAATGTCTGCTCACACACGTGCCACATGTCAAACGCCTCCTCAATTAGCCACGGCAAATTATGTGAATTCCTTTTGCATATACATAATACCTTAACAGGGCAACCAAATCCCCATCCATTTGAGCAGACTGGCTGCTGCTATTATTCTGTTTTCTTTTCCTGACCAGAACTTCACCTGCACTACAGTTGTTTGATACCCTTTAACCGTCACAACTTCATCCAACGGAATTCTGGGATTTGTAGTCTGGTGAGATGCTTAGTAGAGCTCTTAGGCAGAGTATAAAGGTAACTACAGCTCTTTAGCAGAGAATTCGATGTTCCTCACGAAACTACATATCTTGTGCTTCTGCAAGATGGAGCTATGTCGATTAAAATGATATCAAACTGCTGTAATTTGGCAGTGTGGACACTGTCCAGCAGGATCAGTTTCATAAATTGGGCCTGTTATGCTTAACATTTGTGGTTGGACTGTTGGTAAAGCAAAAAGGTGTCTAGGATGTTCTGAAGCATCTCTGTAAGATATAATGGGCAAATATGGCCATTCAAATGTTGTAGGAGTGCAACTCCCATCATCCTTCATCATTGGGTATGTTGCTTGGGGCTGATAGGAATTGTAGTTCAACATGTCCAAGAGCATTAAGTTTCCCTTTACTGCTGAAGAATTCACAGAAGGTGTTTCCACACTTCTATAACTAGACAGATTTCTCCATTAATAGTTAAGCAGTTCTAATTCAAACATATGGTGGGGGCAGGGGAGATTATTTTGAGATGAAAGCATAAAATCATAGGATGGGATTGGAAGGGGCCTATATGGCCATCAAATTCAACCCCTTGCTCAATGCAGGAATCCTAACCAGATAGGCAGTTATCTATTTTTCTCTTGATTTTATATATGTCCAAATGATGGACACCACCCCCTCTGGAGAAACAGCCCCATTATGTTTTCGCAAACTGTCCTTCTCACTCTTCACCTTCCACCAGAGAAAATCTATAGTGGTGTCAGCATGGATCTGGTCCGGTTTTAAAGAGCTACATAGTGTATCAGTATACAATTTGGTGTCATGTCACCCTCCTATTTCATTGGCCACTATGGAAATATCAAGCTCATTTATTTTTGAGAATAGCACATTTTAATAGCTGGATTCCTAAGTGTAAATCTTGCTCTTTATCTGTGGAGTAGTTTACTCCCTTAGCCACAATTTCAGTGTCACTGAAGATAATTGGTCTGGTGAGAAAACAATATAGATCCACCATAAATACCATATTTTTCCGTGTATAAAATAACACTTTTTTTCTAAAATAATTAGGGGGGAAATGAGGGTTGTTTTATACACGGAAGGAGGCAGAGGCAAAGAAGCACTCACGTGCACCTCTTGCTGCTGCCGCCTCCTCCATCCATTGCCTCCTCCAGTGTAACTCCCAGGGCTCACTTCCAGCTCATGTCGCTGCCTGGTCTCCTCTGGCAGCGGAGCCAAAGGAACACTCGTACGTGCTCAGGTGCCTCTTGCCGCCACTGCATCGCTTCCTCCAGTGCTCCCTTCGGGCAGGGGACAAGGCGGTGACGAGGTGAGCCCCAGCAGTCGCAATGGAGGAGGTGATCGAGCAGCTGAGGCAACAGCAGCAGGAGATGGAGGAGCAATTGCCCATTAACTGCTCCTCCGCCTCCGGCAAGGGTCAAAATTAGGGGGTCATCTTATACATTGCGGGGTTGTATATACAGAAAAATACGGTACAACCATGAATTTTTTTTTTCACTCTTTGGTCCTCCATAGTGTTAGACTAGCTGGCTGGATAGCTCAGTGGTTATCTAACTGTTGGATCCCCTCCACCACCACCCCTGGTGCCTGTGGGCAAGACACACAGTCCCAGGGTACCCCGAGAAGGAAACTACTTCTGTGTATTCTTTATCTGGAAAATCCTGAAAAGGGTTGCCAGAAGTCTGAATTGACTTGATAGCACATGACAGATGGGTTAGACCTCAACTTTTAGAAGATCCGGTCAGCCTGGCCAGCAGTCAAGGATGGTGGGGGATGAAGCCCTGAACCTCTGGAGGACCATAATTTAAAGACCAGCACATAGGATCTTACAACAGATGGCTGACATTCCCTAATGCAATGAATGTCTCCCCCATGCCTCTCCATCTATCTGTGTTGCAGTTTTGGACCAAAATGCATATCGTCCCTTTTCACTGGCTATGCTTGCTAGGTCTATCAAGTAAGCATGTCACAATCCTGTCTCTCTACTTGCAATATGATATGATGGGAATTAGCAGAGACAATAAATAGCAATGGGCACAAGTGAAGAGAGAACATTAGCACAAGTTTTTATTAAGAAATTGTAACTATTATTACTAGTTTGACAAAAGTAGCATGCTTTTCCCCATAAAAGAACATTTTTCTGTATCCAGTCTGACAAAATATCATCCATTCCAACATACTTTAATCTCTGTCCAAAAAAGTTTCAACAATGCTTATTGAAAAGGTTTCTACTAGACCGTTCTTTCACATGCTTAAAAACCACATATTCAATAACAAAAACAATTAACATTATCTTCATCTACCACTGAAAATGAGGGGAAGGGAAGCATGGACATCTGGACCAGAGCCTTAGTTTTCCATCTATATTGCACTTCTGTGTTGCCTGTGCACAATGCACAACATACACTCATCAACTGTAAGACGTATAGGCCTCCTAAAACCAATTTCTGAAAACAAGCTCATCTGAAGCACAAGAAACCCCTTATTTATTAATCAGAATGTTATACATAGATAAAAATACAAACAGGAAACAACTGGGAGGTTTCTGAGAATAAGTTCCAATAAATACAGGCCACAGTTCTCCACACTGTCTGTGGCTTTGGCGCAGAGATGGCTATGGCGATTCAAGAGCACTCCTGCTTCTTTCTGGCTTCTCACAGTTGTGCTTTCTTTCCAACAGTCCTCTGTAACATCTCTGAATGGTTTCAATTTCACTTTGTAATGAGGCAATTTCTGCAGCAAGGTTGATTCCTGAAACGGGAGAGAGTGAAAAAGAGGTTAGTGGCAGGCTGTTTTAAACTATCCATAACAGAAGAGAACCTGCTTCCACTCCTCTGTGGAGCACTGGAAACCAGGTCAAGGGAGCATAAAAATGGCAGTAAAGATTCATTCTGCTGCTGTGTCCACTAGAATGAAACTGCTCTCTTTTGTGGATTCCTCTGTGACCCCCTTTATGTCCAGATGGGTTTGGCATCTCCAGAAGGGCAAGATGTATAGATCTTATTTCCTCTTGTATCAAATCCATTGAGATCTTGAAACCTTGCCTATCTGGAGCACGATCCATTCATGAAGGGTACAGATCTTAGCCCGAATCAAGATCTCTTGTTTCTTACTGGCAGTTTGGGTCGTCAACTGAACTGGTTGCCCATTCCTGGTCTGCAGTAAAACTATCATCACAAAACTGAGGGGGGCAGTAGCTTTGTCCCATTAAACGTCTAGTACTGTAGTCAGTCAGAACAGTATTATTTAAAAAGACTGGTGATACTGGATAGGTCAGTGGTTTAGGTATTAGGCTGTGGAGCCAGAGGCTGGGAATTCAATTCTCCACTGTATCTCCTTGACAGGGGATCGGTCCATAAGGGTCCCTTCCAGCTCTGTTGATCTAAAATTATTATAAACTTTCAAAAAAAATTTTGAAAATGCATTTTAAAATGGTTTCATATCAGTTTTCAAAAAATAATGACAATACTGTTTTAAGTGCCATAAATAAAAAAGAATAAAAAAGCATCTTGCTATCAGTGTCCATAGTGGTCAACAGCAGCTTTCTGCTTTGTACCTTAAGTTCACGTTCAGCATACCGTATTTTCCCCATGTATAAGATCTTACTTTCCTAAAATTATTACACTAAAAATTGAGCGGCGTCTTTTACATGGAAGTAAGTTGAAGAGAGAACAAAATGGCACATACCTTGCCTCTGCATACAGGCTTCCTCCAATCACGAGCCTTATGGAACTGATGTCAGCTGATGTTGAACAAACCAATTGGAACATACCTTATTGGAGGTGGAGCCTATAGGCTCAGATGCAACAGGGACTTGTAATGTCCGAACATTCTGAGCCCAGAGGCTGAATATTCAAAGCTAAGTTTTCTTAATTTCGGGTTAGAAATGTGGGGGGCGTCTTATACATGGGGGTGTCTTATAGATGGAAAAATACGGCACATCCATTGTCTAGTGTCTTATAGATGGAAAAATACGGTACATCCATTGACTATGCAGTGGCGGCCTGCTAGATGCTTACCCTGCATGACGTCAAAATCGCTTGACAATAACATTTTTGCGATCGCAATACAATGGTTCCAGCTTGACAATGACATTTTTGCGATCGCAATATGGTTCCAGTGGGGAAAATCTGCTTTATATTGATTAGGAGCCTTTTTTTCCGGCTCCACAAAATGGCTTCCCTCCCTTCTCAAAATGGCTGCTTTCCAGCTCTGGAAAATGGCTTCCTTCTCAAAATGGCTGCTTTCCAGCTCTGGAAAATGGCTTCCTTCTCAAAATGGCTGCTTTCCAGCTCTGGAAAATGGCTTCCTTCTCAAAATGGCTGCTTTCCAGCTCTGGAAAATGGCTTCCTTCTCAAAATGGCTGCTTTCCAGACGGAAGCTTTGTATTACAGCGATCTTTAACAGCTGATCGGTGGTTCTATGGGCAATCTTCGTGGGATGATGAGGTATTTCCCCATTGGAATGCACTGACCGGTTTTCAATGCATTTCAATGGGGATTTTTTTTTTCGCTTGACGATTTTGCTTAACAGCGATTTTGCTGGAACACATTATCGTCATCAAGCGGGGCACCACTGTATTAGCTCAGTGTTCCCCAATGCAAGCTGGTGGTACTTTCCATAGGTCATTGAATGAGACCAACTGGAGGGGGCAACCAGTAGAATCTTGCTCACAGAGAGGGCACTAGAGCAGCCTGGGGTCCCGTTGCCCAAATGACAACTTTCAAACCAAAAAGGGAGACAAGTTCCATGTGTGAGTAATAGGGCCATGGCCCTGAGAGGAGAAATTACAGCAGTTGAGCAAGCTGTTTAAATTGTACCTGTCACCACATTAAAGGTCTCACCCCCCCCCCGCTTAATAACGATTTCGCTTAACAACGATTTTGCTGGAACGCATTATTGTTGAGGAAGCTTTCATGATTGTGTTACGTGGCAACGGTTCAAATGGCAGCCTCCATCTTCTCTCACCTTCCTGGAATGTCCTTTGGGCTTGGCGAAGACTCTGGGGCACAAGGATTCCAAACCAAGTCAAAGGATCTTGGTGCCCTGATCTCTCTGCAGGCTGAGAAGCTGCATCCAAAGGCCGGGGCAGACCCTCTGGTTTTCCTGGGCCCTTCCGCCATCGCAGACCTGGAAACATCACAACAGAAGAGGCTTAGGGAGCAAAGAAAGAATGCTCTCAAGTCTTTAACTTGAGAATACTTTGAAATTCCACACTTGATGACTCTTGTTGCTTGAGATAAACGTGTGTTGTGGGCAGGGGGAACAGCTAAGGCATCTCCTTTTACCCAAGTCAAGATTTCTAGTAATCAAAAACTGATACATTATCTTGACGTGAGGCAGAAACTTCCAGAATCACCTCTCCCCGCCCCTGCAACAGAAGCATAGTAATAAAGTAAACAGCAACTTATTGCCACGGGGACAGAGAAGGCACCTCCTTGAAGAGTGGAAAAGCACTGCGAGTATACTTAGACATTCCCTGAGCAATGGTGAGCAGCCGGCCAATCCTTCGTCTCCAGAAGCGTTGTACTCTCAACTTGCGGATGAGCAAAATAATCCAATGGTCCTTTTAAGACCACAAATTACAATAAATTGTAATATTTTAATTCGTTTTTAAATTTTTACCTAATTTTATACATGCCCATAATTTTTAATTATATAACGCTAGATTACAAATACTTATTGCCATTTCATGACACTCAAATTCTGCTGCTGGAGGTGGCTACCTCGCTCTGCCTAACAGTAGGACTGACCATGCTCCTATCAAGGTAGAGGGTTAACTTGTGAACTAAGTGGAGGCATTGCCCTAGACATGGATGGAAAACTGCTCTGCTGTCTAGAAGACTTAAATCTGGAAGCGAGACTGCTGCTGAGCCAAATTCTGCCTATAACCAATTTTCTTATCATTTCTGTTTATTTGCAAACTCTCACTGTTGTTTTTAACTTGTTTTATTGAACTCTACTTTGCAATAGTTTCCACCATCCTTTAAGTTGCATCAGAAATGTTGGAACATAGTCATTCATGTTACATGTTTGCTAGTTCAAGGATCTATCCTTTGGAACAATGATTTGAAATCCTCCTGGTTTACAATGGCCACCAGATGGCAACTCCTGTTCCACTATGGCCGTTACAGCTTTGTGTATGCTTTTCATGACAAATATCATTGACCTGAATCCTACTGGTGTTTGCATAGGTTGCCACAGCTAATTGTGACTAACTGACAAGGTTCTGGGGCATGGCTTGGTTGCATGCCCAGTCATGTGCCTGACTGCATCATCGAGATATACCCCATCACTACGTCAATTAGTAACAGCAAGGTACACCAATCTTCCCTGAATTCTAACCGGACTCCAGTCAACATGTTTTTCAAGTCTTCTACAGCAGTAGCTACTTGACAGGGAGAACCAAGTGCACCTAAGGAACCACCATGTCCCATGTAGCCACTGAAAACACAGAAACACCAACCAAGACCAGGCACTGGCATTCTGATCACAGGGCCCCACATTCTGAAATGCTCTGCTGCTCCAGATACACACACTTGACATGATCAGCAAAGTGAAAAGATCTTCTAGGCTGCTTCTTTACCTTGTTCACTGGGGCCAATTTCTTCCACTGCAGCTAGATTTTCAGCTTTTTTGGGAGGCACGTCTTCTTCTGAGACCACCACAAACTCCACCTGACTCGTCTCTCTCTCACTAGATTGAACAAACACACAAGAAGATACTATATGACATATACCGTTGCATAAGGACCGATTCTCAGTCCACAAATCAGTGGGGATATCCCTATTTGGTGCTCTTCGTATGGGACAGAAAATACATCCACGGACACCACATTACATCTGACTGCGCATACTTTTCTCCTCTTCCCCTTTTGCCCCACAACAACCCTACAAGGTAGCTGGGGTCAGGAGGGAATGATTGGCTCAAGGGCAAGAGAACTTCATAGAGAGACTGGGGATTTAAACCTAGATCTCTCCTGTGTCCTACGCTGGCACTCTAACGACAGCACCACACTGCCTTTTACAGCTACCAATAATGAAGTGATCTGGCAAAGCAGCAAAAAGATCACTTCCCAACATGACAACGTCTTCCAATGGGCTCTTTTACTGTTGCCCAGGATCAAGTTCAGAGACAAGCAACTTGGGGCCTTCTGCACATTTTGGATTATTATGGGCCACATCACCTAGGGCTGATGGTAGCTGCAGCCCAGGCCATCAGGGTGTGGTCGTGGTGGTGGTACTAAGTTGCTTACCCTTGGGCCAAACAGAGCAAGCCTTTTCAGTCCTCACAAGGGGGAAAAAGAAAGCCACTCCCAGCCTTGTCAGGGCCGCCTGGACAAATGAGAAGCAATTATCCAATGCAGACAATAGAGAAGCAGGAATAGGGTACAGGACCATCAACTGTAACCATTCAGGACAAACAAAACAGGGCAAATGCAAAAGCACCTGCTGACTATGGTTCTTCCCAAATATAGAAATATATTTCTGGGCAGGCTCCCTACCTGGGCAATAACAGATATCAAGGGAGAGCTTCTATCAGCCTATGGTGGGTGTGAGAGAGATGAAGCTGGAAAACCGAAGAAGTGGGCAAACCCTCTCTTTTATCTTGCCCCCTACCCCTTCCCCCAGTTCCGACATTGTATCCTCTCACCTGGTTTTCACCCGAATTAGTGGAGTCATCTGGTGTCCATACTGCAGAGTAGAAACAGACTTGTTACCCATCGCATAACGGGATTTTGAGAGACAGAACCAACCCTGGAGAGGAAAAGACAACAGCTCAAACACATATACAAAAGCTAGGCTACTCTGCTTAAGAGGAATTTTTCAGAGTGGTCACTTTAAAAGGAGAACTAAGCTTGCACATTTCCTAAGATGGGGGTACATATATATATATATAGCAAGAATTTATCCCATAAGGAGCAATAGATAAAGGGTTATGCCCAGCTCTGGAAGTCCCATAAATGGATAGATTGGCATGAAATGTCCCTGAACCATGGTCTCACCTGCTCTACCAAGCTGTTAAAAGCTTCCCTCTTGGCCTGGAGCATCTCAAGAGCATCAAAAAGCTGGAGGATGACGTGGTCCAATTCTTCACAAACTTCTGCTGGTCCCATGTTCTCTGTTGGAGCCATCTGAAAAGAAGCATGTGTTGGAGTTTTTGCAACCTCATGTGCTGTCTTTAGTAGATATGGCTGTGAGGGACCTTTTTGGGCTGGGGTGACTGCCAATCTACCCAGCACTAACCTATCATTCCCTCCTGCCTCTGATTTCAAAGAGAGCTTCCCCCTCTTTTTTTAGTCTGCTGGAAGCAGTAAGTCTGTTGGAAGTCTGTTGTTGAAGGCAGTCATGTTTGTCAGTTTGGTATTTGATTTGTTCAATTGTAAGTAATGAAACTTTTATTCTTTCTCCTACTAATGTCTCAGAGTGAGTTACTGAAACTGTAAGTGGCAGCTGATGAGAAAAATGTGGGCTAATACGGGGAACTTCAAGCTATTCTGCTCTGTGAATCCCTGCACTTCTGCTGCGCAGCTAGAGGAATTTCTCCAAAAGTTCAAAACTCTGCAATAACGTGTCTGTCTGACATTTTATCTTGTCATCTGTTCTTCTTTTCACCTCTGTCCTGCTCTATCTAAATGAGTGAAAGGAAGAGCACACTCACTATATATTTGTGGAGTGCAACTCCCATCAGCCAGAGTTATTAACCAATGATGAGGGATCATGTAGTCCATCAAGATCTGGGGAGCCACATATTTACTCCCCCTGATTCTGTATCCAGTCAGCAGCTTCTTGTGTTCATTTTATTTAAGTTGAAAAAGACCACATGGGCTACAATGCTATACAAATCACATGCATCTGACTACAATGTTGAAGTTCCTTTAGTTGCCTCCTGTGGAAATTAAAAAACAACAATAGCACAATCTCCCCACCCCCAAATCTACTCTAAATACAGTATGAGGAAGATTACTCAGTTCTCACAATGCTAGTAAGTTTTTGAGGACAAATATAACCATGATTGTTCTCCCTTTAAAATTAAAAGCCCAGTTATTTACTTCTGTTCTTAGCATAAAACAGAAGGAACATACAACTCACTTGTCAACCAGATTCTGCCAGCAGTAGTAAGCAAATGCAGCAAACCCTACATAAATCCAGGCTTTTACACTTCTAAAAGGAAACCATCCACAGCCCTCCTCTCTTCAGTCGCTGAAGCAACTTGAGCATACATGATGTAGAAAGTTTATGCATACTTACTCAGAAGTAAGTGCCAAAGCAGATATTTTACTTGGCAGCAGCTAATGTAACTGGAGTTGTACTTTAGGTCTGCACAAAACTAAGCCAATTCCACATTAAGACTATTACACATCGCAAAGCAGATCTGAGGCCAAGAGGGATGCTTATTTGGAAGTGTGCTGAGCTGAGTGGGACTGCTTTAAAGTGAACATACACATGAGGTATGATGTTTCTCCATTCAGGCACCATATCTTTTTCTCTCCCTTCCCTCCCATTTCTATTAATAAAACTGATTAATAAAACTTAAGCGGAAGAGTGGTGCTGGAGGAGAATCTTGAGAGTCCCCTGGACTGCAAAGGAGATCAAACCTATCCATTTCGAAGGAAATCAACCCTGAGTGCTCACTGGAAGGACAGATCCTGAAGCAGAGGCTCCAATACTTTGGCCATCTCATGAGAAGAGAAGACTCCCTGGAAAAGACCTTGATGTTGGGAAAGTGTGAAGGCAAGAGGAGAAGGGGATGACCGAGGATGAGATGGCTGGACAGTGTTTTCAAAGCTACCAACATGAATTTGACCCAACTCCAGGAGGCAGTGGAAGACAGGAGGGCCTGACGTGCTCTGGTCCATGGGGTCATGAAGAGTCGGACACGACTTAACAACAACAAAAGCGGAAGAACTTTGATAAAATCACAACCTGATTCACACCTTCATGACTGCTGACTTTCTCCTACTTTAAAAAAAAAAGGCAGCCCAGGTTCCCCACCCGCTGCAACCTTCTGCCAGCCAGCAAGGACAGGTACCTTTGTACGCAAATACAGTACAAATGAAGGGCTTCTGCTATCCTGTTCGCCCCCAGCTAATGCAAAAGGGCTTCTGATTCCTTTCCTCCAGAGCCGCTCTTCCTTCCTGCAGACGAGACGGGCCGGCACCCCCTTTCCCAAAGCCCTTTGAAAGCAAACTCTGACCGCTGCACTTCCTCTTCTCGCGACCCTGAAACAGGACTCCACCTCCTCTTGCTCAACAGCCAATCCCATCGCATGGACCCGCTCCATCCATAGTCAGCGGCTTCTTCCGGGCCGAAGGGAGGCCATCTTTGTCGAAGGCAATAACTCCACGTCGTACTTCGAAGGTAGGTGCTGAAGTCCTCTCGGCCATCTTGGATGCGGGTGGTTACTTCGCGGCTCCTTTGCGCTCACAAAGTGGCCAAAGAAACATAAGCAAATGTTCCACTACTTCTTCCCCCGCACATGGAGGTTCCCACTGCATTCATCTGAAAGCCGATCGTTTCTATACAAAACCTTTGGGTCGGGGGCAACCCTTTCCTCTTCCGTCATCGTCACTGCTGCTGAGGGCCAACCTTTGTTTCTTGATTCGCCGGCTTGTGTTCCGCCATCTTTGTTGTGGGCAAGCATCCATCTCCGTATTCATAGGCAGGGCTGTTCTGCCAATGAGAAGCCTGCCAGGGGCGGAAGTGATGGCAATGTAGTTTCACGTGGTGGGCTGTTGCAGGAGCCGGTCGTTATCATGGTAAGGAGGGAAGGCTTTCATATTTGTGTCGTTGTTTTCTATAATAATAATAATAGTAAATATATTTAATAAATAATAATTAAATTAAAAATATAATAATGGCTCTCTTTCTGTCTCCTCGGCTGAATGAGCAGAGAAATGTCTTCAAAATAACTTAGTCTGGATTTGCCGCTGATACACATAGACAGTGGTCCCTAATTCATGGCAGTACACTAATTTGAAGCCTGGAGTCTTGCTGCTATATACAGTAATGAGCTTAGATTGATTTTTGCAGCGAAGCAAGCGCGCTTTGTAGGTGCTGATTTTACTTGCTTGCTTATCCCGCCTTTCCTTTACTAAACCATCGGAAATAATAGTGCAACAACATGTTTCTTAGAAATATGTGCCTATGGGGCTGTAAAAAATGGAGTCAGGCTGGCTAGAATGATTCCTCACATTTGTTTACCCATCCTGCTCCCTGGCTGATACTCCCAGGAATTTCAGTTACTTTCTCTTCTTGCGTTTTTCCACACTTTTTCTCAGCTTACATGCTTAGCCTGTAATGTAGTAATCTAAGGACTGCTTCTATCCACCACTTTTTCTCAGCTTACATGCTTAGCCTGTATATATATAAAAGATGCATATAGTTTTTTTTAAGTAAATAAACTTATTATAAGAAGTGCACGGTGGAAAGATGCAGAGGTTACTAAATAAAAGGGTTTTTTAAAGTATATATGTGTGTGTGTGTGTGTGTGTGTGTGTGTGTGTGTGTGTGTGTGTGTATTTAAATTTTTTATTCAAATCTACACTCAGAAACTGCAAATTCTCAGTGGCTCTTTTCTTTCCCACTTTTCTCTCACCTTGAGTATCCATGTAGGCAGAGCTGAGATCTTGCATAGAGAGCTATATCAGCCTACTGCATCAGAAACAATGAATCTTACTGCATCTTAAAAACTAAAAATGTTTATTATGAGATAAGCTTCTGAGGACCACAGCTGGTTTGTAAAAGGCATTAAGTGTTCTCTTAGAAACTAGTAAAGATAGGTAAAGCAGTGTGTGTGGGGGGGGACAAGTTGGTTGAAGGTCTGAGGGAGGAGCATTGATAGGAAAAAGATGCTGTATTATCATTTTCAATGATATTTCTACGTGTCTTCAGTTATGTTTGTTTTACATCCCATTTCCTTGCTGTCCTGGGATTCAGATCCTAAATATGATGACTATGTTGAAATGCATAGTTCATTTGTTTTATTTATTTAAAATATTTTTACCCCACCTTTCTCCTAAAAAGGACCCAAGGTGGCTAAGTTAAGGTTCTTTGAAGTATATGAACTTTAAGGCACCTAACACTGTGATCCTACACCTATCTAGCTAGAAATAAGTCCACTTGAGGTCTTCTAAAGTAAACAAACATAGGATTGCTATCGTAGTCTTGAAGTTTGGACACATTTTGATTTGGAAGTGGTGCTTCTCAGGTGGTTAGGAGACATTTTAGGGAAGAATCCAACCATTTCCTGCTGGTAATGATTCTTTGGCTTAGGAGAAATGATTTTTTAAAAGGCATTTCTGTGATTGAGATAATGTAATTATATTCTTCCTCAGTTGCGCCGGGAAGCTCGTCAGCGGCGAGAGTATTTGTACCGCAAAGCTCAAGAGGAGAAGCTCAGGGCTCTTGAGGACAAGAAGGAAAAAATCAAGAAAGCACTAGAAGGTACAAGTAATTGACTTACAGCTAAAAAAACTGATGAATGTTGAGAGGATGAATCTGAACATTGAAAGCTGCTTAACTTTTGTAAGCTGACTTTTCTGAAGTGTAAGATCATCTCCTCACCTCTTAAAAATGTTGAGGCGATAGATGCATAACCATTTGCATTTTTCTGCAAATGTGCATACCTTGATAAAAGCAGCACACGGTAGGTGCATCTGTCTCCATGCATTGATGCATGTCTCACTTTATCCTATGGGCCCAGGATGGTTTATGGCAGTTTCTTCCCAATCTTTCTTGAAAGTAAAAAGAAAGGTAAACCTAAGTAAGAGGTCCTTCCCACTTCTTAACATTTTCTTGTCCACATTCCATTTGTTCCCCAGCGTACATCATTTTAATGATGGAGAACCAGTTTGCTTCTCTGTTTTTCCATCTGTCATACACATTGCCTTTATTCAGAACCTCAAAGACAGATATAAAATGGAAATATTGTGTGTATGTGCACATTCTTAGATAGTCTGCTCTTTGAAATGCTGTTTTTGCTTTTGAACGTCTTCTGTTTTTGATGTCTGGACCGTTTATGCACAGTGGACTTCAGTGTGTGTTTTTTGTCTTTCTGGCCAGAATCCTGCTCACGTTTTGCGTAAAATGTATGTAACTTGCCACATCTAATTATGGCTGATTGACAGGGTGCTGGGACATATCTTAGCTATTTTCCTGGTCTCGTGTCTAATTGCAGCTGATCCATTGGCCACTGCAAGTTACAGAGCCCTTACACAAGCACCAGTAGGATTCCAGCTGTTGATCTTGCACCCTTTGCTTACAGTTGCGTTCTGATAATAATATATAAAGAACCTGAACATCAGATCTTTAAAATAGCCATTCTCAATTTTTTTTGGTCCATGGCCATAAACAAAATATGTAAGGAAAGAAATATCAGTCAAATTAGGATTGTATTAATGGCATAACAAACCTTATAAGATGGTGTATGAAGAATGGTTTCCACTCTGTGACCCCATTCAAATTTAACCAGAACCTCCCAGGAGGCTATAGAGGCCCCTGTGGGGAATGGCTGCTTTAACCTGCTGGTCCTCAAGCAAAGTTTGGAAACTGGTTATACCAGACGGATTGTAAAATAGTCTTTAGTTTAGCAGTAGCCACACAGTGGGAGCAGTGAGGCAGAAAGTTCCCGGCTCAGAAGGCCAGTCATGATTATTTGAGCCTCAGCTTTCAGTCTGCAACCTGGGGGTAACTGTCAGTTTATTACAGGCCTATATTCAGGGTTTATAATGTTTACATCTTGGAATTTAAACCCTGATGGACTCAGTGGATGTACAGGTTGTCCTGTAGGAGAGCTTACAGGACATTATTTATTTATTGCATTTGTATTCTTATTTTCCTCCAGTAAGTTCCAGATGGCTTACAAGTTTCTTCCCCATCTCCCATTTTATCCACATAGCAACCTTGTGTGATAGGTGAGGGAGTGGTTCACTAGGGGTTACCCAGTAAGTTTATTAACTCAGTGGGGATTTGAACTTGAATTTCCATGGCCTTGATCTGGCACTCTGACCCTGAGTGTCTGGGAAGACCCAGGCCACTGGAGGACCTTATGCCAGTGGCCATCTTTTAGATGCTCTCAGAGGGCAGCTGTGAGGGCCAAATGGGAGTGTGAAAAAGAGAGCGTGGAAGCTGCTTCGAGCTGTCAGAAGGAAAGTCAAGTCTAAATACGCTCGATAAACACACGTGTATGTTTTTCAAAGACTTGGAGTTTCTGCCTCCACCCCCAAGATCAGTCATGATGGGCAAGCATGCGCCCTGTTTTTCAAAGACTTGGAGTTTCTGCCTCTCCACCCCCGAGATCAGTCATGATGAGCAAGCATGCGCCCGGCTGGCTCCATGAGTGGTGAATTCCCTGGCCTCATCTTGGTGTTTTTCCTGAGTCCTCTTTGCTTTTTCTCCTCTTTCCAGAGAACAGCCTCATCCCCACAGCGTTGCGCAAGGAGGCGCTTTCACTCCAAAAGGCCCTGGAGTTTGACGATGGAGGTGGAGAAGGTGAGTGTCTTGCTTGAACAAAACAATGCTTGGGCGGCTTTGAGTGGGACATTCGGGGCCCTCCCAATATTTGGTAGCCTTCTTGAACCAAGGACAATATGGTAGAAATGGGAGACGAAAGGGACGGAAACAATCGGGGTGTGTGTGTGTCACCCAGCACTCCAGTTGAACTATGATTAAAGTAACCACCAGAGCAGTGTGGGTTACGATGAGTGTAAGCAGTCTGCCAGGTAATCTGCGTTTAAGATATTCTGCAGTTTTGTGAGTTATAACCATTACTTTGAATTTTGCCCAGAAATGGAGTGGCAACCAGTGTAACTGTTGTAACCTATAAATTTCATCCCTGAGAAAACATGTTGCTGATCCATTTTTAAGTCTTATTGTTGAGGCTCTGGTCTTGAAGCCACCTTGGGCTCTAGGACCTTATTTTCCTCTTTTCAAAAAATTGCCACCATCTTTGTTCTCAAACTAAGATTGGTTTCAAGGAGTAGGATGGAAAATTCCAGCGAAACGCCACCTGTTGTTGTTGTTGGTGGAAAATTACCTGTTTGCTATGAAGGCAGAGAGTGTTGCTGGTTGGATCTGTTGTTTCTGGAGATTAAGTTGGACTCTTCTATTGTGGTTGGTAGGAGTGACGAGCCATGTCGATGATGAATACCGTTGGGCGGGTGTGGAGGATCCTCGAATTATGGTCACCACCTCCCGCGACCCTAGCTCTCGTCTGAAAATGTTTGCCAAGGTAAGTACAAGCGATGGTGGTTTCTTCCTTTTTATTGGGAGGTGTATGAGAAATGTCTTCCTTTTGGCGGCTGAGTGTTTCTCTGCACTGCACAGTTACAGGAACTTGAAATTGCCTTAATTGCCACGGCTCCATCCTAAGGAACCCTAAGATTTGTTGTATGATGAGCGTCCTAGCAAAGCACCTTGAGAATGGAGGGATTGACGTTAAAACTAACCCACATGAGTCACTAGCCTGTGGATTGTGTAGTGTAGACTGGGTGTCAGGGTGCTTTGGGAGTTGTCTTTCAGGCGAGTAGACTAGAACTCTCTAGCAGAGAAATCTTAAAGTACCTTACCAACTATAAATCCCAGAATTCCATACAGTGGAACCACAACAGTTAAAGTGGCATCAGAATGCTTTGTGTAGTATAGAAACACTTGTTGACTCTGTGAGGACCTGAGATGACCCTTTGGTTGGCTGTAAAACTAGGTGGGAGGCTCACTAAAGGGCTGAGGTTTAGGCTAAGAGTCTGTTCTGTGGGAAAATAGTAATGGAATGTCGTGAGTGTGTGCGGAGGGGAGGGGAGAGCTTTTCTTGCCTTTATCTGTGGCAGCAGGCCCCTGGGATGAAGGCCAAAAGCCACCTGGATGGAGGATGCACATTTTGGACAGATCTGTGCCAGTCTATCTCTTTACTGTCGCCAGCCAAATACGGTAATAGGGACCATGCATGTGAGTGTTGGCAGGATAGCTTCTTGTTTCTTTTACAACTTTCTTCCTGCTTTCTCATAGGAAGTCAAGCTGATTTTCCCTGGGGCCCAGCGCATGAACCGTGGGCGGCATGAAGTGGGCGCCTTGGTCCGTGCCTGCAAGGCCAACGGGGTCACTGACTTGCTGGTAGTACATGAACACCGAGGGGTGCCTGGTGAGTGACCTGGTGAGAATGAAGGAGGCCCTCTCACCCATGATCTTTCATTTAATGGGCAGCCGTGGGGCCTCCTGATGTTGTAGGGTATCTCCCAGTATTCCGCACAGCTGACTCTGCCCCTTAGGGTTGATGGCAATGGCAGGCCGCCAGCATCTGAAGGCTGCTGTTGTCCCCCCCACCCCCTAATTTGAAACCATGTGGAAGAAAACTGGCTTTTTATCTTGTTTGCAATAGGGAAGGGTAGACCAGTAAACACTATGTAACACATAATTAAACCACCCCAAGCCTTGTGACACCTTGAAGACCAACCTGTTCCTCTGACTTGAGCTTCATATTACTCCGGATAGTGAATAGCTCATGCTCAAAACTGGCATAAAGCTGTTAGTTTGGTCAGGATTTTTCTGTAGTGACCCTCTCTTATATGGTTACTCCCTGGAATCTGGTTTGTCTGAGCTAGATCAAAAGATAGTGGCTGTAGCTCAGGAGTGGAGTATGTATTTGGTATACAAAAACCGCTGTGTTTCGTCCCCAACATCACCAGTTACGACTGGCATAGCCCATAGCTTCTCTGAATTACTCAAGCCCCTCAAGTCACAACAAGGCAGCAAACTGTGAAGGGGATGCTATGTATAGCTTTCGCTATTTACAATTTTCACCATCCACATGGGTTGGAACCAATCCCTGTGGATACAGGGTTTCTACTACAGTTGTACATTGTCTTTTTCTTTTCCTTCTCTCCTCTCAAGTAGAAGCTTCTGCAGTGGGTACAGGCAGCTTTCCTGTAGTCTTTGCCAAGTACCTACTACTTTTACCACGCCCATGTTTCATACTGCCTGCAGACACCGCTCAAAAAGAATAGGACCTGGTCCTGCTAGAGCAGAACACAAACATTTCCAGTGAAAATCAGAGACTCTCTCACACAGAGACACAAAATCTATTAATCTAATACATCTGTTTATATATAGCAGCCTTATTCCCCTGCCTGATATAGCCCCAAATGGTCTAAACCTAATATAACATTTCGCTGTTGATTTATAATGTATTCATCTGTGCACCTATAATCCTAAATTTTATTCCTAGCTATATTAAGCAACATGAAATGAGATGTAGGGAATGTAAATGTAAGTTGAGGGTTCAGAACGGGACACAGAGCAAACTGCTGCAGGGCAGGCTTGCACCAGAGCATATCCTAACAGCAAAGGCTCGGGGGATTTATAAGCAGCTGTGCCCGTCTTTCAGTTGGAGAGAACCAATGCGAAAACATACCTTCTAGTGTGTATGGCTGCTTCTAGATTTAATTTGTGTATGTGCATGCACACACATAATTTGTACAGGTTTTGCTCTCATTCCAGCCTCCCTCCCTTGGGAAACTCGTGACAACCTAATTCAGGAAACACTGAGTTCTCTGCCCCCACTATCCTTGGTGCCAGAGAGTTTTTTTTAAGTTTCACTTCTTAACAAATCGCTCCAGGATGCCTAAGAAATAGGTTCCCCTTTCACTTCTTTGTTTCTAGCAAGCAGAAACCTAGCAAATCTGAAGAGTGGCCCGCAGTCCCACTGAGATTGCCCAGTCTGCATGAGACGGACGAAAGTTCTGTTGCTGTGCTGGCTCTTTTCTCTGTGTTGGGTAACACCAGAGCCTGGAAGTGGGCCATGCTGGCTGAGATATTCTGGGCGTTGTAGCCAGGATAGAATGGAGGGGTAATCTATTCTGCCTTCATTGCACCTTGTTGTCAGTTAAATGTTGCCTTTTATAGCTAATCAGCAAGCTGATCTCATTTAGGGCTTGTGATCAAAAAAGGACAGGAATTGGACCTGATTAACTTTTTTCATGTCTTTCCCCCCTCGTTTTAGATGGGCTGATAATAAGCCATTTGCCCTTCGGGCCCACAGCCTACTTCACGCTCTGCAATGTGGTCATGCGCCATGACATCCCAGACATTGGCACCATGTCAGAGGCTCATCCTCACCTCATCTTTCACAACTTAACATCTCGTCTTGGACAGCGGGTGAGATGTGCCAGGCGGCCCAAAAGAGCAGAGTCAATAACTGTGTTGATGCCGTGGAGTCTGCCGAGGCAGAATCAATACAGGCTTTTGTGACATACTGAAGATGAGTAAAGCTTTTATGGCTTAAGCTTGTGTGGACTGCTTTCCTTTTCACGGGAAGCATAAAGTGTTGTCGTGAATTACAGGCATGGGGGCGCACGGTTTAGAATGGAGAGGAAGGAAATGGCATACAGAAAAATGCAGTGATAGTTACATTGTCAACAGTATCTTCACAAATGCAAAAAGCTGTGGATGATAATACAGATGTTCTGTAGATGTAAGACAGCCAAAGTAATAGAAGAAAAATTTCATCTGAAAAGCTCAGAAAAACAAACATCTCTGGCTGTTATCAGAAGAACACAGTAAATACAGAATGTTAGCATTTAGGGAATGGGATATATAAGTCCAATGTGTATTAGGGAAGGATGAAAAGAAATTGCAAATTATGCTGATGAAAAGATGCATATGAGTGAAAACGTGGAATTGTTTCTACATTTTAAAAAATGTAGAAAATGATACAGACAATTTGTATAGTCGACTTCCACTAGAGTGTGCATGAAAGTGGCACAAAGCAGATGAGAACTTGTCTATACATCAGTCCTTCAAATTATTCTGCTTAAGAGATGACGGGATCAGGAAGGCTGGGGTTTCCTACAACCTATCCAGCCACACATGGTCCTGTGCTACTTGTCTTTTAAAATTCAGGTGTAACACATGAGCAGGCCTGTAATCGTCTGGAATTCGCAGCTACAGAGTGTGAAGGTGGCCATTACTAACTCAGTCAACTAAAAGAAGATTTCAGACAACTCAGTGTAGGAGAAGTCTATCAATTGCTGTTAACGAGATTAGGGCTTGGAAATCGTTCACTAAAAATTGCTGCTTCCAGCTAGTTAAAATTCCAGACAACAAATGTTAGATTTGCTATTTTAATTGATAAGTTGCCTATAATGTTAGTTTTGAGTGATGGGCAATCATTTAAATTGATGACAATTTCTATTATTTCTCTCATGTTTCTAGACATTGAATAACTAACAATGATTGAAGGACTAAACTGATTAAGGAATGGATTAGTTAATGGGCCGATTTGTTTTATTAGAAAATCTTTATGATATTACACCAGCAAAGCAGTTTTCTTTTGCAGTTTAATGTAAATGCATCAGGTGTATCACTGATATTTTCACGTTCTGGGTAGGATACCTAAATGGAGTTTCCTTTATGGAGGCGCATGGTTGGTCACTGTTGGAAAAAGGGTTGCTGGGTTAGGTGGATCCTCTTGTGGTGGAATCCTATCCATGTTTACTGAGAAGAAAAACCCATTGAATTCAGTAGGACTTATTCCTAGGCATATTGTTATAGGAGTGTCACCTTGAAATGGATAGGATCCTCCTGCCAAAAAAATAAAAAATAAAAATAAAATAAAAGTCCTGAAATCATAATAGGCAAATTTTGTTAAGTCATTCTGTTTTTGTAAGTATTGGTCAGATTCCATTATGCTCGGAGTTTATTAAATTTTGCTTCTTGTAGGAATGAGAGTGGAATATCATCCTTTTCTAAGTTACTAGAACAGCTGATCATTCACCACCACCATCACCGCTTCCTGAGTTTACCAATAATCATGCACCACCAAGTCAATTCTGACTGATGGCAACCCTTTTCAGGGTTTTCTAGGTAGAGGATACTCAGAAGTGGTTTCCCATTCCCTCCTTCTGGGGGCGCTCTCGGGCTGTGCAGCTTGCTCAAGGCTCTTCTGGCATCTGCAGTGGGAAATTGAAATCCCAACCTCTGGTTCCAAGCCAGGTATCTCAACCACCAGGTTATCCAGCCAGTAAAGTGAAAATGGCCCAGTTTCTACAACAGCCTTGTAGAAATTCATTTTCTCCCACTCTCTCATCCAGAGAAAGGCAGCCTACAAATGATGCGAAATAAAGAGAGCTAAAATCCTCCTCCTTTTCTCTCTCTTGCTGTTTGCTCGGTCAGGTCACCAGCATCCTCAAATACTTGTTCCCGGTGCCAAAAGAGGACAGCAAACGAGTCATCACCTTTGCAAACCAAGAGGACTACATCTCTTTCCGGTACTTGTTACTTCTTATGCGTTCCAAGTCAGGCTGAATGAAATGGGCTTCTTAGCGCTTTGACTGGCATTCATGGATGACAAAAGCAAAAGGGGTGGGAACGGCTTTGGCTCTTTTTTCTTTAAGGAAATACAGGTGCACATTGAGGCGGAGGGTTGCTCCCCCACCTCAGTTATGACTGCTAACAGCAGCCATTTTGTTTTGCCCGTCTGAGCAGCACTGTGAGCTGCAGAGCCATCCCTGGGTGTTCTGGGGCAGGAAAGAGCCAAGAGCCAGGGGAGCACCATTGGATTTTGTTCTTACTACCATTGAAATTTGGCCCCCCTGCCCACGCAATAGAAGGTCGGTGTGCTTTTGCCCACCTTTCTCACAAGTGGCCATCCCCACCTCATGTAAGCCAAAAGTTATTTTAGAACTATGTTCCAGCCCACGAGCAGCTCTAGCGTGGTTGAGGGGACTTAAGCTCCCTCCACAGCCTTTCTAAAGAAGGGCATGCCATGGCAAACTGAGTTCCCTCTCTTTCTTTGTTCTGTGTGAGCAGCCTTCCGTTATGCTTCTGTGTTTTTCTTTTGATGCATCAGTGTGAATGTGACTTCCGAGGTAAGGCTGGGAGAGGACTAGGTGTTTCTCTGGCTTTTTCCAAGGTCCACCTTGGGAATCAAAGAGTGATACTTATTTTCTAAACTATACCACTTGAGGCTGAAGCCTTTAGCCATAGATCATTTGTTGAGGAATGAGACTTTATGCACTCTTCAGAACTTTCTCTTATCTTACCAAATATATATATATATATTTGTATTGCGGGAGAGCAGGCACCACGTCTATAAGAAGATCGACCACCGGAATGTGGAGCTCACTGAGGTTGGGCCACGGTTTGAAATGAAATGTGAGTAATGTTTTCCAGAATGCGACTGGTGAAAAAGGAAGGCTTGCCTCTACCACAGTCATCCTTGAAGGGGCCTAATCATACTGAACGGTGTGTTCCTGTCACCAGAATTCTTACACTAATGAGTATGTGTAGTGGCTGGAACACTCAGGGAAAGTCCAGTAAGACTTAGCAGTATGCTAGTGATTTGTGTGTGTGTTCTGTGCTGTCAGGTCGGAATTGACTTATAGCAACCCTAAGTTTTCAAGGTGAGATATTTAAGGAGTGGTTTTACTAGTTACACTCCCTTGTTTCGATGGCTGAGCAGGGATTCACACCCTATTCTCCATCACTCTATCCTACACCACACTGGGAATCCCAGTGATGATTAGCCTCTTGCTACTTTTTTCAAAGTACTATGGTTTATGTTGAAAGCATAAGAGAATCCTTGTGGCACAGAAAACTGGTACACCTGAGGAAGGCTAAGTTTGTAACTTTCCGCTGAGATGCTAGCTTGAATTCTCCCCATTTTGTTCGAAACTAATTCATTAGTTTCGGGCTGAGAATGTGTAGCCTTCTGGATGGTGCATATCTCCGTCCCTTGCCTTCCTAGCCCATGGTGAGGGATTTCAGGAACTGCAGTCTGTGAGTATCTGGAAGGCCTCAATGTCTCCATTCCTTTACTTTGAGCTTTGGGAGTTTTTGCTTTTACTTGTATCTTTTGGATTCACAAGTACTTGGGGGCACTGCTTCTTTTTCTTTTCCAAGCGAGCTGTGTTGCACTTTATTAACGGCAAAACAAAACACAATTTGTAATTAACATCCAGCCTAAAATCACTATTAATATTGCACCACATAATAAGTAAAAATAACAAAACACGTTTTCTGTACAAAGGGTTAAAACACTTAATGTTTTATAAAGCGAACAAAAGTGCCTTGAATATAACTTTCTCACAATGCACTTGCAAGGGCTACAGACCTGATTATCTTTTGAATTACGTCAAGGATGCCATATAGAAAGAATTAAATCTTTCACAAGAGTTCCACTGTTTTGTCTCAAGAAGAGAGACCTTCCTGTCCACTATTGTATTGCAGCTTTCTCATGCTTTAGATGAGGCAATAGAAACCCTTTTCTCTGAAATACTGCTGAGGTGGATTCACTGTTGCAGATTGGCAAAAAAAGAAAAAAGAAAAAGAAAAAGAAGAAGAAAGAAAAGAAGAAAGAAAAAGAAAAAAAATCCCTGGCTGATGCAAAAGGTTCCACTAAATATTTAGTCCCATGGCTCTTTCTCATAGAAGAAAAGGAAGGAAGGGTGTTGGAGGTAAAAAAGAAAAAAAAAAGAAATTGCAAGGTGACTGAGGCTGGAGTTTGTTTTCATTGTATGTAGGTTGAGTTTCAGGGCCAAGGATAAGTCTTTCTTGCTTTTTCACAAAGTTATGATATAGTGGTGAGGAGCATGTGATAAGGTGGAAGTCCTATGACAGTAGTTCCCAACCTTGGGCCTCCAGATGTTCTTGGACTACACCTCCCAGAATCCTTCACCACCACCTCTGCTGGCTAGGATTTCTGGGAGTTGAAGTCCAAGAACATCTGGAGGCCCAAAGTTGGGGACCACTGTCCTATGAAGACATGGAGAAGCCCCCAAGGAATTCACATCCTCTGTTTCCTTCCACTATCACAGTATAAGGCTAGGCTTACCATTAAAACAGGAAGTGAATGTGTGATCTGCCACTTCCTATCAGCTCTAATGCAATGTAGCCAGTGGTACAGAATACCCAGGCTTGCAACATCAGGAAGGCCATGTGTTCCGTACCTTGATTTTAAAAGAGTTAGGAAATATGCTGCTTTATTGAGAGAAACAAAAGACTTCGGAGTATGGCATGTTGAGGACTAATTGGTCATGGCCTTCTGGCTTTCCTTATGAATTTCCCAATGCTTCTGTTTCCTTCATCAATTTCTGCTCTGTTCCAGCAGGCAGTTACTATTAACGAGGGAGAGGTGCATGGGGAAGGATCTACAAAGCATTATTACAATTGCAGTCTTTCCTGTTCAGCTTTTCCTCTCTGACCTACAAATACTGCTTTGCTGTAAAAATGCAAAAACTGCAGTCTAACTGAGGGAATCCAGCATGAGGCTGTTGTGCAATGATTATGTGGCTGCAGAGAGAAGGGCTGGGCCAGTCTCTTATGCTTTCGTTTTTCTATTGCAGTATACATGATCAAACTGGGAACTCTGGAGCAAGAGAGCACTGCTGATGTGGAGTGGCGTTGGCATCCGTATACCCGCACGGCCAAGAAGCAGAAGTTGCTCAGCACGGAGTAGCATGGACTCTGAACTACATATCTCGTGTGGGGCCTGTTTCTTTCTCATCAAAAGGTTGCCATATGCTGGCAGTGCAATAATCCCTGGGAGAGGAAGAGGATCATTTTGAATTTCTCTTATAAATGTGTGCTTTTTGCCTCTTAGAACCAAAAAATAATCTCCATAGCGGATATAGCCACAGGCTCACTGCTCAAGCTAAGCTTTTTCCATCCTCGTTCTTCCACAGAGATCTTATTTAAAAAAAAAAAAAGTAGACAAAAGAGATGAATGGCTTATATCTTTTATTGCTCTTCTCCCCCTGTTAACACCCATGCTGAGCTGCAGGGTGGCCTGCAACGTCCAGTTTCAAAAACTCCAGCAAGGAACCAATGTGAACAGCAGGGGCCTTGAACGATAACTTACTTTTACAGCTGTTTGAATGTTGTAGCATGTGTGAGGTCTACAGGTACGCTCACTGGAGCTATTAAGGGACACACAGGCTAAAATGGATGAGATTCTGTGTTTCCAGGGGGCATTTGACATGCTGTGTCAGTGTTTCCCAGAAATCAAAGAAATGGCGTCTAAAATTGGGATAGCAAATTGGACCCCCCACCATCCCTTTACTGTACCCTCCCACTCCAGCCACCATTAGTTTGGTCTCCGATTTTCTAAATACCTTTCTGTCTGTTGAGGAAACTCTTGATTTGCCCAACCACAAAGGTAATGGTATAACTGGGTCTCAATTTTCTTGGGATATCTGATTTTTTGAGGTGGGGGTGGGGAATCTGCTTGAAAGCAAAGCGTTGTGGGAGAAAGTGGTTTTTGAGAGGGAGGGGAGAGAAGAGATAATTTTTAATGCCTCCCTTCTAGAGCCTGTGCCATCCCAAAACCATTCCGCCCTGCATGCAATTACATCACAAACGTATGTGAGGAAGGCCCTGACTGGACCCTAGCCGACTTTTGACACAATAAAGCCTTCTGTTACTTCCAGTTGCCATTGTCTGCCTCCCAGAGCCTCAACAAAGAGTTGCCTTGTGTTGAACCCGGACTGCAAAGTGGGATTGATCTGGAGAGCTCGTTTGGAGGGAGAACAGAGCTCTCCATGTTCTCTTCTTCCCACAGAGGAGAGTCTGAGCCTCAGTTCCAGGGGAAAGAGGCAAACAGATTGTAAAAGAACAGCACAGTTGAAAGAGGGAGGGTTTGAGTGTCTTCTTCCTTCCTCATATCGCTATTCTCACTTCCTCTTTTTACAGTCTTCTAAAACGGGTCTGTATTTAAGAAATCAAGAGCTGCTGCCATTAGAGTATACATTTGGTTACAAGGCAGTTAAGCCCAGGAACTGTTTTTGAGGGGTGAGGGCAGATGGCTTCAAATGGATGAAACAGCCTAAAGCCATCAAGGATCTTCTTCCTTCTAGTCCTCTCCGTTTTAATCTCTTGACGAGTTGCTCAAATTATGATTGGTTGCCAGAAACAAAAGAAGGGAAAACATGAGTTGACGTAGCTCAGGCACTCTCCCTGGGGAACTGGGAATAGGTCCAGTAGCTGTCAGTTGGGAATGATTAGGCATCCTTCAGTCTCGAGAGACCGTGGTAACGTGCTCTGTATGGAGGTCTTGGAACAGTGTCTAGTGTGACTGAGGAGGCCAATTTGAGAGTGACCATCCCTTCCACACTAAAGACAAATACAACCTGTTCCCTGTCCAGCCCCTTGATTTTGCTGATTTCAGGACTGCCTCTTTGCCTCAGCCAGTTGGGAAGACAGTTATAATAAATCACCATCTCTTGTACATCTGCATGTAATTGGAAGGCACCATGGTGGACGTTACTGGCACTAATTCTGCCCAGTACTGGGCTTAAAAGTAGGATGTGAGTGCCTCTAAAGCAATCTTCGCTCCTTGCCCATTTCAACCATCATTCTAGATCTGGGGTAGAGTTGCTGCCCAGGATCAATTTTTCCCTGAACGCTGGAGGATTCCAGCTTCTGTTACTCTCCACCATTCCTTTGTTCCAGCTGGAAAACCTCCTTGTGGCTGGGTGTAGCAGCCTTTCCAGCGGTGGCTGCATTTTAGTAGGTAACCCCAGAGGGCAATTAGTTCATTTTATACATCCACTCCTTGTGAGTGCAGCAGTTTGGTTCAGCCTGTATTGGCTCCATAGCGGAAGCAGCGTCGCATGGATGAGGTCTGTCTGTCTCTGTCTCTGGCCTGCTGCTTATATTCGGGTCCACTCCGCTGGAGGGTCTCTCGGTCCTTTAGGTTTCCCAATGCGGAAGTTAAACCCTTTGGAGAGGGAGAAAGAGAGGCACAGCATGAAAGGTTTGTTCCATCGTTTAAAAAAACCATTTTTGATGACTCACCCCCAAATGTCTCTCAGAAATATGCTGTCCTTGATTTTATAAATTGCTTTTACTTAAAACCGGCCAAGCTGTGAAGAACAACATTCAGGAGATTGCTTAGGATCTGCTCTTATTAATAGTCTTACGTTCTCCCCACTGTGACTTTCTAGCCTTAGAGCTAGGCCATTTGTGTGGCCTTCTCAGTGTTGGCTCTGTCTGGAAGTGCCGCCCAAGAGTACCTGCAGGGCACAAATGAGCTGCCCCGATTTTCCCCAAACACACACACTTTTTTCCCTATCCTCTTCCTTCTCTACCAAGTCATGTTGACAGGTAACTTTTCCTTTTTTAAAATTTAATTTTGTCTCTAAGTTTAAACAAAACCTCTCCTTTGATCAAGCTACCTCCTTCTGTTTGCCTTTTTTAAAACAATCTCAGGGGAAAGAGGACTAGATAAACTGAGGAGGATTTTGGGGAGGGGGTAGGTTTGCCAAAAAGTCATATGTTTCTGATTAATATTCACAGGTGTGCACAACAGTTCCTAAGCAAAATATTATTGATTTGTTTACAATTGTGCACATATGTAGTAGCAAGGCAGCATTTCAGAGGTGTGAAAAAGAAGGGCAAATGCCTGTCTTTTAAAGATACTCCTGTTACATACAGCACTGATGTTACCTGTCTGTCATGGGTTTGGAGGGAAAGTTCCATCCTATGGGGAGTGGAAGGCGGGACATCAGGAGGAGGGGCTGTACTGTATATATATGTGGAGCGTGTGTGGAGAAGTAAGGAGAAGCTGGAGAAGAGCTGAGAGAAGAAGCTTGAGTGGGAGTCTGTGTGTCAGACAGGGTACTACTGTGTGTCAGTCAGTACCAACCTGATAGGTTCAGGTGTCTGTATGGTTAGCCAGAACAACTCCTTTCCATCCACTTTTTTTATAATGAAGCACTTGAGGAATACACACTTATTCTTCATTAAATTACCCTTTTAATGAAGGCACTTGTTTACTTGCTTTAAAAAGACTTTTAATTATCAGCTGACGTCTAACAAGGGTATCCAGGCATTGTTGTTTCTACTCAGGGCTTGGAAATAATTTGTTTTGAAACCGTTTTTAACAACAATATGCAAAAAGGTAATACTTTAAATAACAACCTTAATGGAAAAGCTCTTAATTGTTTTTCATAATTTAACTTTTACTATGAAGGCTTAAAGGTAAAGGTTCCCCTTGACAATTTTTGTCCAGTCGTGTTCGACTCTAGGGGGTGGTGCTCATCCCCGTTTCCAAGCCATAGAGCCAGTGTTTGCTCGTGGACAGTTTCCGTTGTCACATGGCCAGTGCGACTAGACATGGAACGCTGTTACCTTCCCACCAAGGTGGTCCCTATTTATCTACTCGCATTTGCATGCTTTCGAACCGCTAGGTTGGTGGGAGCTGGGACAAACGACAGGCACTCACTCCGTCACGTGGATTCAATCTTACGACTGCTGGTCTTCTGACCCTGCAGCACAGGCTTCTGCGGTTTAGCCCACAGCGCCACCACGTCCCTGAAGGCTTAGTTGACAATTAAGTACATTTTAAAACTCCGCTAACAAACTGAATATTCATTTAATTAGCATAGAGCACTAGCATAGAAGGCTAATATTTCCATGCTCTGTTCCCACCAGGATTATCTAGTACTGTAAACAGCTGCCTGGAATGGAGTCTAGTTTCTGTATCTCTTGTGCTGGACATATGGGGCGAGATGAGGTTTCTGTTGATCTTTCTTTTCCAAAACCTAATTAAGTTGCCCAAAGGGCAAGCTGGCTGGCAGCTAAGCAGCAGCTGCAGCAGCAACCTGCTCATGGAAGCCTCATGTGAACCTGGGAATGAAAACACCATCATTCTCATGTGGTTTCCTGGAGCAATTGTAGAGCAAGAGAGAGGTTTGCTGCTGCAGCTGTTCTGTGCTATCAAAGTAGAACTGATTTATAGCGGCTCTTAAGAGAGGTTTCAAAGTAAGTGAGATATTTCAGGAGTGGTTTGACCAATTGCACTCCCCTATTCAGTTTCCATGGCCAAGTGGGGATTTGAACCCAGGGCTCCAGTGGTAAGTCTCTCCACTGCACCCCACTGTGCATCTGCTATGTAACCCCAAAATGACACTGAACAGGAGTCGACCTGAATAACATATTGGTTAGCCGCCTGTAAAATTTAAAATCTAGTGTTTTTTTCAATGCATTTTTTAGAAAAAGTGATGCAGACTGGGGCATCTCTTTTTTTCAGTGATCTATAGTTTCTCCGATTACATTCCAAATTATGAAGTAATGGCTCAAGTCCCACCACTAATCTGAAGTGGGGCGGACTGGTTCAGTCACTCGCTTTTACATAACTTCTGACTTGCCATTCAGCAGTTGATTCGGAGAGTCTACAGAACAAGATCTAGACCAGTGATTCTTAACCTTTGTTACTCGGATGTTTTTGAACTGCAACTCCCAGAAACCCCAGCCAGCACAGTTGGTGGTGAAGGCTTCTGGGAGTTGCAGTCCAAAACTCCTGAGTAACCCAAGGTTAAGAACCAGTCATCTAGACCACGGATTTCTAAATTCAGATTCATACACGTTTTAGTTGTGCTGTTACACATATTCACATGTAATTTTTTTCTCACTGACAGGCTAACATATTGGACAAATACTATTGAGGTTTTATGCCCACAACATAAAGCAACTGGAGTAAATCTGGTGGTACAATTACTCCTAGTTAAGAAATCAGGGTAAGCGTTTGCTGTTGCACGCGGAATCTCATGATTTAGCATACAATTGCCAGCACTAACATGTTAACTGATAGCAATTCACCAACAAGATTGGTGCCCATTGCATTATGTCAAAGGGCACCAATGGGCATAACTAGTTGGATTTTGGCTAGAATGGTCTCTTGTTCCAGTTACTTCTGTGTGTGAAATAGCTTCACATAAGAATACAGTCCAGCTCTGTGTGCGTGTGTGAACGAAGTGAGTACACCCCCTCACATGTCATAAATATCTTAGTATATCTTTTCAAATGACAACACTAAAGAAATGACACTTGGCTACAATGTAAAGCAGTGACTATACAGCTTGTATACCTGTAAATGTGCTGTCCTCTCAAAATAATGCAACACACATCCATTAATGCCCAAACCGCTGTAAACTGCTTTACATTGTAGCCAAGTGTCATGAAAAGATATACTAAAATATTTAATGAAATGTGAGGGGGTGTACTCACGTCTGATATACCGTATATATAGGAACCAGTTTGCCCACCTACAGCTCCATTCAAGTATATACTACCATGTTGCTATGGTTACCTTTGCCCAGAGATCTCCTTACTCACCCATTGCACTGGCAGAGGTCCCTACAGCATTTGGGCTATCCCTGGGACTGGTGCTGTTCACATCTTCATATGCTTGCGTAGAGGCAATCTGTGGCTGCATAGAGGCAATCCGTGGTGATGATGGAGCTGTTCAGAAACAAAGGAAGGATTAACTTGCCAGTCCACCACAGAAAAGCCAGGGAGCAAGTATTCCCATAAGCCCAGGACATCAGAAAGGGCTAACCTTCCCAAACCTGGTGACCTCTTGTAAAAACCCATTTGAAAAATAGGTGCCAACTGGACCTTGTTCATTTAAAGCCAGGCTGTGCTATCTATAGACCTCTAGATGTGGTTGTGCTCTCTTAATACCTATTCTCCCTGCATCACTGACAGGAGTCATTAGCAAAATCAGGGGGGCTGTGTTGGAAGGGAGGAAGCACATCCTACATCTCCCAAGGACATTGTCTGCTTATTTTAATTTTGATAGTTCTAGATTGCCTCTGACATGGGACTTGGTGGCGCTGTGAGTAAAACTGCAGAAGCCTCTGTGCTACAAGGTCAGAAGACCAGCGGTTGCAAGATCGAATCCATGCAACAGAGTGAGCTCCCGTCGCTAGTTCCAGCTCCTGTCAAACTAACAGTTTGAAAGCATGTAAAATGCAAGTAGATAAATAGGTACCACCATGGTGGGAAGGTAATGGCGTTCTGTGTCTAGTCGCGCTGGCCACGTGACCATGGAAACTGTCTTTGGACAAATGCTGGCTCTATGGCTTGGAAATGGGGATGAGCACCGCCCCCTAGAATTGGACATGGCTGGATTAAATGTCAAGGGGGACCTTTACCTAGACTGCCTCTGAATTTAAAATCTCCAGAGTGGATTACAAAACCTATTCCTCTTCCTTACAAAAACAACAAAAATAACCCATGATAGGAAGTTAATACAGTATTAGAAACAAACTAAGAGATCAAAACTGAAATTCTTATCAACAGTAATTCACTTATATAAAAACTGATTCAAGTACCAATCCTAAATGAAACTGCGCGTTTAACAAAGCCACTGTATATAAAAACTGATTCAAGTACCAATCCTGAATGAAACTTGCGGGTTTAACAAAGCCACTGCCACCCCCCTCACACACACACACACACACCATAATTCTGGTAATGAAGGAGGAGGAGTTGTGATGAGGGTTTTCTCGCTGGGAGAATCTGCAGTTGGCAAACCAGCCCAACCTGCTCAAGTCTCCTCTTGAACACCACCTGAGTATTCAAATGCAGCACTAGATCAAATAATAGCTGTAATCTGTGGTCTCATATCTTCAGTGGTTGCATAATCATCACCTCCTGACCACCAGTACACCATGGCTGTGGAACATGTGGCTTTGTAGATGATGCTGGACTACAACTCACATTCTCCCTTACTCATGACTAAGGTGCTTCTCCTGCAGACAGAACACCTACTGCCTAATTGGCTGCAATCCTAGTTCACAATGCCTGTCTTATCTGGACTGGGAGTTGTAGTATCACTGCCTTTTAGGGTTTATAGAGGACACCTCCCAAAGAACTGTGACTCCCAGGAAGCACCATGGCAGCTTCCCTTTTTAAGGTATAGGCTTAAGCCTGGAACATGGAAATGAAAGGTCCTATATAAAATGAGCTCCTTTGCCTCCTCACCTTTCTTCCCAGAAGATGAAGTAAAAGCCTGGAGAGGGGAAGAAAATGATTTTTTTTAAAAAAAGGAAATTCAGTTTTACATATTTCCCACTAACTTAAACATGCTGTATCTCACCACCTTCCTAGATTGGTCCCACTGACCCATTTTTGTGATCTTTTTAACCCCATTACTAAACTGCAGTGATTTAGCAGCAAAATAAACCATATTTAAACAAACCAACAGAGAAAGCCATGTTGCCCTTTACATAATACAAATGTAGAAGAGGTGATACCTTTATTTAGACTACAGTACTAAAAATCAAACATTCAGCGCGGGCTTCAGAATTTACATAGCAGGAGTCTGCCAGGGATACTTCTTCAGGTGAGATCAGAGCAAATTTCATCCAGGATGTGTGTTTTGTGTTTAAATGCCTCACCCCTGGTACCATGTTATTAGAATTTTCCACTCAGCCTCCAGGATAGACAGTAGTCCCTGAATGCACCCTTCCCCCACACTCACACTGCCTGTTGTGAAAATTAAGTCTCTTTTCTGGCTGTGGTGTGGAGGAAGGCCACACAACCTATCCATCCCCATCCTGAAGATGGGATATAGTTTGGTTAATTCACCAGATAGTAAAAAGCCAATCAAAGCAGAATTAATTACAAATTATTACATTACCTGGTGAGTTTTGCAAACAAGTGATTCTCAGTTTAAACAAGGTGCACAAGGGACCAGCAACTTCCTGTTTTAGATGAGAACAGCAGTGCCTGCAGCCTCCCACAGTTCTCTGTATACCTTGTTTCAGCAAGAAAAGGCAATTACACAATCCCTATAAACTATGCATGCCAAGTGCATTTCAATCACTTCTCTGTGGACTTGTAACACAAGTTCTAATGGTTAATGAATGTACCTTACTCTCGCAGTGATGGAGGAAGAGCAGGCATGGAAGTTCGGATGACTGGAGACCTCATTCATCAGGTCAGCTGCACTTTTTTAATGAGGCCTCCTAAGAATCTCAGCACTTTTTCCATAAAGGCTAGAAATCTAGTTTCATTTTGTTTTTCCTAAGTAAAAGCTTGGGGTTTTTTTTTGGGGGGGGTAGCTGAATCGCGTGCATCTAGGGCCGCATTTTGTTGCTTTTTCTGTTTCACTCACACAGTCTTCATTATGATAGCTGCACACCTTCTATCATCATTTTCACTGGGAAGAGTTGGGTTAACCTTTGTAGCTTTGGTCCAATCATGATATACCCAGAAACAGACTGGAGTGGGGCTTGAGCTTTGTGCAGTATTCTTAGGACCCAAGCTTTCATCCGTGCTTTGGAGGTAAACCTGCCCCATCTACCATTGTGTTATTAACACATAACAGTATTTGTCAACATATATTGTTGAGTTTAATCTGTCCAGTAAGTACTGGGTACTTCCCATTCTACAGATAAGAAAAGTAAAGCTAATGTGGCTTACAGAAAAGCTTAACCATGCTTGTTTTGTAGAAGTGGGACCTTGAACCCAAGTTTTCTAGAACCAAAAGCACACTTCTACTGGACCACAATGGCTAATTCCACCAACCAATCTCAACGGGAGGGATGGGGAACACATAGTCCTGAAGAGGTTGCTGGACTCAACTCCCATCATCCTTCATCTTTGCTTGCAACCAGCCTGCCATTTTGTTAGAGGGAGTTCCATGGTTCCCTGTGATATAGGAAGATCCAGGGGAGGAAAACACATCACAAGCTACCTACTGGGGCCATCAGGTTCCTTAGGAGGTTTTTCCCAAGTCCATTATTATGAGATGGAGAGGAGGTGGCTGGGGAACTGGAATCACCTGGAGAGAAAAGAAATGGAGGGGCTATAAATCAAGACCAACATCATGCCAATGTATTCCAGACTGGGACCTTTACACATCCTTTAGCCCCCCCCCCCATCACATCTTCTGCCATGCTTTACCCACAATGGGTCAGAAGAGGCCTGGGTATATGATATCAACAATATATCAGGATATGCTATTTGAAGTATTTGGTTTTTTTATAATAGATGTTTTCATAGAATCATAGATCCCAGAATACTGGAGTTGAAAGGGGCCAGTAAACCCACTGAGTCCAATGCCCTGTTTAATACAGAAATTCAAATCACAGTATATCCACAGATGGTTGTCTAATTTTCTCTTGAACTGCCTCCATTATTGGAGCATTCACCCCCTCCCAAGGTCATTGGTTCCACTCTTGTAATGCAGTAACAATCAGGAATTTTTTTTCCTAATATTTAACAAAAATCTGGCTTCCTATAACTTCAGCCCATTATGATGTCTCCTGCACTTTGGGATCCTGCCCCCCCAATAGGATAATCTTTCAAGTGTTTGAGAAGGGCTATCAAATCTCCCCCCAGTTTCCTTTTCTCAAGGCTAAACTTGCCTAGTATTTTCAATCTTTCCTCATTGGGCTTGTTTTCCAGTCTCTCAAATCATCTTTGTTGCCTTCTGCTGAGCTTGCCTCAGTTTGTTTGCATCCTTCTTGAAGTGGGGATGTCCAGACCTGGGCACGGTACTCCATATCAGGTCTAACTGGTGCTGAATAGAAGGGAACTGGTACCTCACGCTATTTGAAGACTATACTTCTGTTAAAGGTAAAGGTAAAGGTTCCCCTTGACAATTTTTGTCCAGTCGTGTTCGACTCTAGGGGGCGTGCTCATCCCCGTTTCCAAGCCATAGAGCCAGTGTTTTGTCCGAAGACAATCTTCCGTGGTCACATGGCCAGTGCAACTAGACACAGAATGCCATTACCTTCCCACCATGGTAGTACCTATTTATCTATTCTGTTAGTGCATCCTAAAATAGCCTTTGCCTTTTTTTGCAGCCACATCACTCAGCTTGTGATCTACAACAATTCCAAGATCCTTCTCACTCGTAGTACTACTGAGCCAAGTATCCTCCATTTTGTATCTGTGTTTGTCTCCCCACCCCAGGTGTAGAACTTTGCACCTAAAACTCATTATTTCTTTTTTCTTTTTTTTCAGAACAGATGACTGGGTCCAACATGTGTTGACAATCCTTCTAACAAATATTAGATTCCCATAGGAATTCCCAGAAAAAAAATCTCTCCAATCAGAAAATTTCAATTCTGATATTTGACAATTGTTATCATGAAGACTAGAACCTCATTTATCTGCATTCAAATTCATATTTTGTCATCTTATCTGTATAGAATTAGCTTAGCATAAGAAGAAAGTGTGCTATGATCTGGGACAGTTTTTCTTTAAAGGTGTTTTCAACCATTAAATGGACTAACACCACATGCATTTTTTTTTACACAAAGGAAAGTGTAACTGAGTCCAGTAAGGCCTGCTGTTGAGTAAGTGCATGTAGGATTGCAGTGGAGGTGGCAGTCCTTAAACTGATAATGGTTGAAATGATGCGATCATGACTTACCTTACATGACTAGTGTAAGGATTCCCATGAGTAAGTGCATGTAGGATTGCAGTGGAGATGGCAGTCCTGAAATGATGTGATCATGACTTACCTTACAGGACTAGTGTAAGGATTCCCGAGACAATATACATGAAGAGTGTTGGACGATTAAACTAAAGTTGTATTTATACACACACAGATGCATACATACGAAGTCTTATAGAACTCCTGTAAGAATACTAACCATAGTTATTGTAGATTTTTTGCTGCTTTTACTTAAACAAACACACAGCTATTCTCATACATCACCTGGTGGAGGTGGGTTGATGACAGCATATTCGCAGGCAACAGTAGAAGGGGGCCGTCGTATGGGACTCCCAGGGAGTGATTGGCTGGTTGGGAGTCCCACAAAGGCATTGGGATCAATTATTTGAGCACCAGCCTCGTTGCTATGCCGCGGCTTCACAGCAGTATAATGGAGTCCATCCAGCTTGGTCTCATTTTGAGGAGACGTAGAAGAAGGTCCCCCTCCGCTTCGCCGGAGTTTGTTCACAACGGCATAAGTATCGCTCATGTCCTTGCCTAGCTTTGGTGGCAGTTCTGGAAGGGCTGTGAGAGTCGGGTCAGCTGGCACGGAGATGCTCCTAGACCACAGAACACAGAGAGGCCTCACAATCGAAGGTCTAAAGAGCACACGGGCACCACCTGTCTATTTACGGCTTAAATCTCAGCCTTGTGGGACCTGCCCCAAAATTAAAACAAAGACATGCTGCACTGTTCATTTTCTGGAATGAGTTATGTTAGTTCTCCTCCACCATCACCCTAAAAAGGACAGAGCATCTAGAAGTACTTTAAGAAATCTTCTTGCTCTTACTGTAGTGCTTAGCAATAGTTCATGCTGTGTACCCATGGAAATTATTTCCTCTTTATGCCTTTCTGGAATTTCTACGCTTGAGCTCTACCGTTCATAAGAGTCACAAAGCCACTTTGTGTTCCAGCCACAAAGACACCTTTCTATATTCAACTGCAACTCCTTCTCTTTCTATAATTTTCAGTATTTATTTCTTTAAAATATGTTTACCCTGATCTGTCTCCTTAAAAAAGAATTCAAGGCAACTTACATTATTAAAACCACACCATTAAGAGCTAAAACAGCAACATTTTCAAATATTAAAACAGAATAAAACGTCGTATTAAAAATTTAAGATAAAAGCATTGCTCAAACAGATTTAGAAGCAACAAAATACAAACCATCCCATTAAAAAACTTCTCCCAGCCCATCAGTTATTCAGGGAAAGGTTGCCTGAAGAGAAAGGTCTTTACCTGCTTGTGGAAGGACAGCAAAGATGGGGCCAGCCTGGCCTCCCATGGGAGGGGGTTCCAGAGTATGGGAGCAGCGAGAGAGATGGCCCTCTCTTGAGTCCCCACCAAATACACCTGTCTTTATCATCACTATCTCCCCTTCCCCACAGAATAGACCCAATAGCTTTGGAATGCAAAACTCCACATGTGCATTCAGAGCATAAAACAACAGAATTAATAAACAATCATCAACGAGCAATCATTACCATAATACAGTGGACCCTCTACTTACGGAATTAATCCGTTTTGGAAGGGTGGCTGCAGGTCGAAAAGTCTGTAGGTCGAGTCTCCATTGACCTACAATGCATTGAAAACCGAGTAATCCCGTAACCGGCCGTTTTTGTTCCATTTTTGTTCCATTTTTGTTTTTTTCTGGTCTGTAGGCCGAGTCTCTGTCTGCAAGTCGAACCTAAATTTTGCAGCCAGAGAAGTCTGTAACTCGAAAAGTCTGTAAGTCGAGCCTTCTGTAAGTCGAGGGTCCACTGTATATAGCACTGCGCGCACACAAACACACCGTCGCAAGTCTCTACCAGCTGGGCTTTCCCAGGAAGGTGTCACTACCAAAAAGACTCTGCCGTCACAGGGAATGGTAAAAACAAGGAGTTCTTAATCCCCACCACCAACTCTGTCCCCCAAGTTTCCTTACCGGAGAATGGAGCTTCGTTTGAGGAGGGGTGGGACAGGGCGTCGGAGGGACAGGGCGTCGTCATAGAGAGGAAGATGGTTCTGTGCAATATGGAAGAGAAAGGAAGTGAGGGAGGGCGTAAGGCAGACCAGCTGTTTGAATTTCCTGCCGCAGAAAGTTTCCCATAAGCAACGTTATGTATTAACCTTGTGCGCTGAGGAGAGGAAAAAAGAATTAGAACATGTCAATTCATTTTGAAGACTGCACTGCTGTCTCTCATTGCCCTTGTAAAAACAAACAAAAGCCTTATTCCACACAGGTGTTCTTGAACTGACGTGGAGTCTAGGCTAGGATTCACCACAATGTTTGTGCCTGAAACAGTGTCATGTCTGATAAACTACAACGCAGGAGGCTTTCCCTTCCTCTTCTGCCACAGTCCTCTTGCTTCAAATAGCTGCACATTTCCTATTAAATGATGAAATACTCCTGCACGCAGAGGCTCCCCCATGCTTCTCTGCAAATCAAAAACTAGTCCGATTCAATTTCCACTTGCTCACATCGCCTGCTGGTTTTCTTTCTACTGACCAGCCATTTAAGAAGGGAACCGCCGTCCAAGAGTGGGTGGGTGCGGCCCCAGCCTGGACATCTGGAGATGCCTCACCCCTGATCGATTCATAGCTATGGAGCGGCATTCAACCCCAAGAGCCCTCACCTGCATTTCACAAAGAGAGCCATTGCAACTGATGCTTGTGAGAGCCACACCCAAGAGACTGTGTGGTTTCATGGAGGATTCAGCTGGTGTTTATGATCTGTAGTTTAGGTCCCGCTCTGTGTTGGTTTGATGAGGAAACATCTGTGGCTAGGAGCAAGGTGGAGCTCAAGATACATTTTTCTACTGGCACCCTTAGCTATGGAGAAGGCACATCCTTTTGCTTAGGAGAGTACAGAATTGTATACAGTACTTGGAAAAGGGTTGCCCAACTCCGCCTTTAAAATCTGAGCCCTGGAGCAGGGCACGCAGCACAAGCTTGTGAAACGTTTGCCAGGGACCTCCCATGAAAATGTTTTAATTTCTGGTTTGACTTTTAAAAAAAACTGAACTGCTTTTGATCCCCTGCAAACAAATAGCAGAACATTTATCACCTGATGTCTTTTAACAGCCCTGTTTCACATGGGTTTTGTTAATTTACATCTTTTCAATCATCATCTACACTCACTAAGGTCCTCAATGAAAACCTCATGAGAACATTACTATCAAGGTTGCCAACACCCTCACTAATGGTTTTTGCTCTCTCCAATTTGTGTGAATAATAATTTGAATTTGTAATGACTTGATTCTCTTATATAGGTGCTCATAGGTGGATGGGCTTGATGAAATCTCAGGGGGGGAGGAATTGGTAACTAAAATAACAATGAGCAACAGCCATTTCCCAGATGAATAGAAATATTGGCTCATTTCCTATTTTATATTAATATCCAGTTGTCTAGCGGGAGGATTTGGGTTTACAATGCAAATGAGCACTCTGGCAAACTCAGGCTTTAAATTTGCAATACAAATCAACAGAAGCAAAAAGCAATCCTTTGTCTCTGCAGTAAACAAGCTGAAGTAACCTAATGCAACACCATGAGCCTCTACTCCATTTCAAATTCAGACATGGTGGATCAAGGATAGAGTAAGTATGGATTGTATATGTACCGCTTGCTGCCTGGGACGAAACAGCAAGCGATACATACACAATCCACACACCCATCTAGGCCAAAGTGAACAGGACCAAAGCCAGAAAATGTATTTTGGGCATCTGAAGTAGAAATCCCACACACCACTCTCCACACCCCTGGCAGAACAAACAAAACAGATCCAAAAACAACAAACAAAACATCCCTATAATGTGGAAAATAAGCATTTGCTGCCCTTTCAGGACACTGCAAACAGGTTACATAGCTTGGCCACCTAGAGTGGTCACAAGACCAGATAGGCGGGATATAAATGAAATAAATAAAATAAAATACATACTCTAATTTTAATGTCAGCCACGGGACCAGATAGGCGGGATATAAATGAAATAATTAAATAAAATAAATACTCTAATTTTAATGTCAGCCACGTAGTCTGTTGTTACATGTTATCACATGTTTCTGCCCTACAACAACCTTACGCAGGAGTGATCTCCAAAATGTCCTTTCCTCCACAGCCCTGCTCAGCACCTGTAAACTCAGGCCCGTGGCTTCTTTTTGCGCCTCAAGCCACCTCACATTTGGTCTTCCTCTTTTCCTGCTGCCTTCCACCTTTCCAAGCGTTATTATCTTTTACAGAGACTCACCTTGCCTTCTCATGATGTTTCAAAACATTTTTTTCCTGGTCAGCTTTCTTTCACACCCATACATGATGATCAAGAAAAAAAGAGTGTCGATGATCTTGGTCTCCAATGATATGTTTTTATATTAGATGATATTTTCTAATTCCTTCATTGCTGCCCTTCCGAGTCTCAGTCTTTTTAAACAAAATTGAAAATAATTTAGAACCCATCTTGAGAAAAGTTTGCAGTACTTTTCTACTGATGTGTTCCTAAATTACTTCTAATTCAATGCTGACTTAAAACTACAGTAGTTGGGTTTTTTGGTAAAGTTCTATGTTACTATATGAATTTTTGGAGTTTTTATTTTAAACTTTTTAAATCTTGTTGTAGTATTAGCAGGGTATTTCCTACCACCACCACTGCGTTCCTCCCAGACCACCATCGTACATTGTTACTTCCCCTACTAATATGTTCCTTCAAAATCCACAACAGGTCACTTGTAGTTATGGCACAGGGGCTGGGAATTCAGTTCCCCTGGGACTAGGCATCCCCAAAGAGCCTGCACAGTCCAAGGGTGGTCCATTTCTGAGTACTCCTTATCTTAAAAAAAAAAACCCTGAAAAGGATCACCATAAGTCAGAATTGACTCGATAGCACACAATTAGAAGAAGAAAGAGGAGGAGAAGACTACAGATTCAGAGGAACCAACACACACTCTGTATGATGCATGCAAGGTGGAATCGCTACACTCGTATACCCTGACTGGTTCCTAGCCCCACCACTGTTCTCTTGAAACCCTCCAGAATCATCAACACGAACAGAAGTGGGAAAAGCTCAGAAACAGGCACACTGCCTATCTGGTATCATTCTCTTGAAACCCTCCAGAATCATCAACATAGGCAGAAGTTGCCTATCTGGTATCGCAAAGTCTCCCAACCCTGAGAATTTCACAGATAGAAGCAGCCAGATTCTGTATTCTGACTCGGGATCCTAATAATATGACAGGAAGGGACAGGGCAGTGCAGCGAGCTGTAAATTTGTGCATTTGAATCCTAGGATCAGATTGCCTATTAAGCCAAATTCATATTTCCTTTCTTAAAACATGATTGATCCAGGCATGCCCATCTTTCAGTGCTACGTACCTGAGACATCAAACATGCAGCATTAAACAGGCAAACGAAGCTGCTCTGTCTTCCAGATAACTGATTCCAACACAAAAGCAAGCCCATTTGCCAAATGTGGAGTAAGACAAACTTGTGTTAGAACAGATAGTCTTTTGCTCTACAGGGGGTATTGCTTTTAGGTGCAGGATTTTATGCCTGATCTGGTACAAAAACAGTACTCTATCTGGCTGCACTTGGATCCTCTTCCTGTACAGAACATCTCAATCTTTGACCCCTGAAAAGCTTATTGGCATCTTTAGTGAGGCAGAATTTGGAAACACACAGCCCATAAGGATGTGACAGGAAAAGGCCCAAGGCTATAAACCTCACACACCTACTTGTTAGTAAAGCACTTCGAACATAAGCAAAAGTACTTCTACATAAGCATGGGTAGCATCAGGCAAAGGGAATGAACTTTTAGTTGTACTAAAAAGAATTCTGCCGTGCTTGGAGAAAACAAAGGCAGGAGGCAGATCATGGGGAGAACATGGGGGTCCAGGGGAGGACCCACTCAGGCCATAACCACTCATGATCCTCCCTACTTTAAGTGCCAGTGACCAAAATCCTGTTTCGTGGCTCTGCTGGCACAGTGGAAATGATGTCACTGACAGCACCAGATTGTGACTAACTAAAGAATATCAGGTTCAATTTCAGGTTCTGTGGAATTTTGTCTCATTGGGTGCAAGTTGTATGGATCTCAAAATTAAAGAAGGAACTCTTTAATTAGTGGCAGTCTGTCATTGCTAGTGACGTCATTCCTGCTACACTGGCAGGGTTATGCCATGGGAACTGGCCAATATGTTCTCCAGATGCATGCTTTCAAAATTCAGGAACACCAGTAGCAAACACAATAACCCACAAAATGAAGTTGATTTGTACTTTTGCCAAGCTTGGCTTTAAAAATCACAAGTTTTCCAAAAGTAAATAGGTTTCTATCTCTTTAAAAGCTGGCTACTGGGCATGGAGGTCTTCAGACACACAATAGGCAGCCTGTTTTAAGATCGTCCAACAGTAAACAAAGAGGGCAGAGCCAGTGGGATGGTCAGCTGAGGACAACAAGAAACCAATCAGTGAAGAAGCCAGTGTTTTCCATGACTGAGACTTGCTTCAGTAGATGAATTAGGAAACATCGCCCCTCTGCGGAAAGTGTTGCAACAACTGCAAGTATTGACAAGGGGCTGATGAAACAGGCTGCAGTCTGTGAAACCTTAGGACAAGCAAAATTTACTAATCTTTAAGGAGCGCTACGGGTTTTTTTTCTTCAGCAAACAAACACAGATACCCGTTGCTTAACCTCTCTAGTATTACTTCTTGTTCCAAGTTTGACTCTTACCTCTTTGAGGTTTTCATAGTGTGAGTAAGACAAGCCCAGGGCAGCCCGGAACATTTCAGTCACTGCATGATATACAAACTCGTATTGTTCCTGTCAAGAAAATCGGCAATGAATATAAAGTGACAACTTCTCTTTCCTGCTCTCTCTCTCTCTCTCCCCACTTCTACTTTCTACCCATCCCCTTCTCTCTTCATTATATGCTAGCTTCTGAAGTCCTTCAAAAGTTCTCTCTCTCTCTCTGTCTCTCTCTCTCCACTTCTAATTTCCACCCATCCCCTTCTCTCTTCATTATATGAAGTCCTTCAAAAGGCCTTCTGTTGCACTCTAGTGTGTGGGATGGGCAACTTGCAGTTGTTGCTGGACTACAATGCCCATAATTCCTCACTGGTTAGGCTTGCTGGAAGCTCCAGACCAACAACATGTGCCGGCTTTAGTGTCACACAGGGGCAGGGTATGCACGTAAGCAGGTGGGGCTGCGTAGTTAGTGGCTAACTCAGTGCTCAGTGGCTGCCGCCACATTCTGTGGGATAAAGTAAACTGTGGAAAATAGTTCATGGGGCCCAAGTCTGATCTTGACTCCACTAGAGATACACAATTTTAGCTCCCCTTCCTGTGGTGCCCCTTTAATTTCTATCATATGGCAATAGCAGCCATTTTTTCGTATCAGATAAAACAAAACAAAATTGTGAGGTTTATAATAACGGTGCATTAGGATGCTACACAAATGGCAGCAAAAAAGCACCCGCCCTCCCCATAGATCTCCAGCAAGTATCACTTGTGTTCATGTGTTGCTACACAATTAGGATGCTACACAAATGGCAGCAAAAAGCACCCACCCTCCCCATAAATCTCCAGCAAGTATCACGTGTGATCATGTGTTGCTCTGCTCAGCTAACACACACGGCTGCTGTCACTTACTTGATTGCAGCTTTAGTCCCAGAGGGCAGGATGTAAGTACTAGGAAGTGCAGCGAACAAGTAATAAAATGGTGTTGGACATAGCTTTGCATAGTGCAGGGCCTGCCAGGCAAGCCAACCCTTGTTGTTGTTGTTCTTTAGTC